TTTCCCATCCACATTAGCAAAAGCCCACAAGAACTGTATTTTGCGTGCAAACTTTCTGTACAGAACCTCAGTTAAAAGACAGTTAAATTCCAGTCACCTTCTACATTGCTTGCTGGTTTTAGTTCTCTGGCACTTGCTTTATTTTCATCATGTGCTTCAAGTAGAAACATCGATTAATTTTTAAGGCCATTACACTTTGCTCATTTGTCTTTGGGAAAATGACAAACCCACTCTTAATGAAGCTCACATTGATTGCTAGAGCAGGAAAGAGCACAGGTTTTGGTACAAGAACTTTTCACTTTGGAAACAAAATGGTCAAATTCAATGATCATACATAATTTCCTTCATTTAATGAGCATTATGATCCACCTAAACAGGAATAAATGGTATTAGCAATGAAGCATTAGTACTGGCACAGTCAGCGTCTGGCTGTCAGACACCAGCATTTCAGTTAATCCTAAACAAAGTCTTCATTCCCACCTAAAGTAAAATAACCGTTGGTAGGTTTCAAAAAGACACCTATCACACCACTGAGAACTGGGATACAACTGTATTTTAAGGATTCTGTACAAAGTTATGCAGAAAAAGATCTTTTCAAAACAATAAATATCAACTTCTTAAAACTCTCCACAGTAACAGAACAGTGGCTTGTTTTCAGAAGAGCATATCACTATTGTAATACTGTAATATTGAAGACACATATGCAATAGAGCTACTGCCTCCAGTACTGAATAGGAACATGGAGACATACTGCATTTTCAGTATTCGAAAATAATTTATCTCCAAGCAGAACATGCCAATTACTAATACTCAGATACTTGAGACAACGGAGATTTTTCCTCATATGCTAAAAAAAGAAGTCCTGCTTTTGCCAGACTCCATATTGGACATGTCTGGAAAGCTACAGGGAACTCAATTGGTTCTGACCATTTTCTGACTCTTGCTCAGCAGCACACATACCTGCATCTGTGGGGTAAGGGTTCTCCTATCACTTCCTTGCGATTTCAGGTAAGGTACATATGGAGGAAAAGATGATCTAATAAAGCAAGTAACATGAGATGAAACAATCCACATGGTGCAGTATTTGAAATACCAAGCATTTCTTTAGTCCTGTATCTGCTGAGCAGACACATGTAGATGTAAACAAAGAAACCCAACAGCATTGTGAAAACACACCCTATATTGACTTTTCTGTGCATTACCCATTCAGGGCAACTAGTCTGGACACCAGTACTCTTATGTGCAGGGAGGCAGGAGACCTCTCTGCTTAGTTTTTGCTGTTTTTAGGGTTGTTGGGAAGCAGAGATTTCCACTGGGCTTGGACAGAGCTCTGGTGCAAACAGCTGTCACCTGAACAGGAATGGCTTCTTGTAGGCAAAGGGTACCCTGCTGTACATGTGGAAGTGAGCTAAGAGGACTGGCATCATGGCATCTTCAGTGCGACACCAGTGCCTTTACAGTGCCTCTAGAACTGCAAGGTTTAGCAAAAAACCTACAAAACAGCAAACTTGGTTGTAGTTTTGCCTGCTCCCACATAGAACACTAGACCATACCACCATACACTGCTATACCATATTCTGTGAGGAATCCCAGGCCAATTTTAGGCTGTTTTGAAGAACACATAAGCAATTGTCCCTTAACAGTAAATTACTAGCTAGAAACACACACAATTGGGACAGCTTAGAAAAACATGTTTTCTATTTATTTAAAAATAAGTTTGTAGTTACTACATTGCAGTGACAGTAATTCTTACACATACATTCTAGTTTGTATAAAAGGATTCCAAGTATTATGCATCAAAACTAACATAGAAAGTGTCACATAACAGTAAAGAAATTTCCAATCCATATGTACAAAAAGAAAGGGCACTGTTTTATCCTGGTGAGATACTTCAGGTTATAACATGATAATCTAGACTTCTGGAAGGAGGGGAAAAAAAACCTTGATAAAGCTAAAGAATTATAGTTTTCAAAACTGTTACTCATTACATACAACAGATTTGTGTTTTACATAATTCTGTACAAAATAAGTGTAATTTTTAATCTGAAAATGTGTCAGTTTCAAAATTAACCTTTCTAGGTCATTTCCTTGAAGTCGAGCTCCATTCTATACATATTTAAACATTATGACAGAATTTAATTCATGCGAGATCATTATCCAGTTGTCCACCACACTTCTGCAGTTTTAGTATGGTCCAAAAATGTAACTTCTGTAGGGTCTCAATGTATCAGCAAATCAACACACGCAGTAGTAAGCTAAAAATAGTACATGTACATCATACAGGCATGTGTACATGATCAGTACCTGTATTTCCTTCTACTCCTAATTTGTATGACCTCATTCTTTGTTCTTTCAGGGTAGAAAGTCAGTACAGCACTACCTTCCCTCCCTAAAATGTACTCTTTGCATTATTTGAAGTGCATTTCCTGATGTATTTATCTGCATTAAAAAGAATCCAAATGACTATTTGTCTCACTACCTATCTCCTAAAAGCTAAATTTATTCACCTTTATCTTATTGCAGCATATAGGGTTTCTCTCTCGAGCGCCTCGAGGTTGTTATAACCTTGTGGGGGGGGGGGGGAGGGAGGGGGGGAACTAATTGCCATTTCCTGCTATTTAAGATGTCTTTTAATCTGGCGTGTTTCCTCCTCTAACACACTGTAAAAATGACACAGCAAATCCCCACATTGGAATTGTGCTAGCACAAGTGCAAGAGCACCTAGAGGTTAGCTCTAGTTTAAAAGCTACCTGTCATTTCTCCCAGACACAGTAGAAAGCATACTAGCTATATTCCTGATTCAAAACCAGGAAACTACGTAACCTGTCAGTACCAGATTGCTATTGGAAACACAGTGTCAAGCCCTGGCTGATTTTATGAAATTCAATACACCTTCCTCTGCATATGAACAAGCCTGTATACATAATAATTCACAGCAGAAAACTAACAGCCCTTCCATCAGTTGAATATCCAGATCCCCTTGGAAACCAATCTGCTACAAGAACTTCAGGGATAAGAGAAAATATATTATATAGCAATTTTACACAGTTAACTTGCCTTCATTAGGTAGTAAGCAGAAAATGAGCTTTCATTGTTTCTAGGTGAGGTTTTAAAGCCCTCTACCTTCTGGATCACAGCACTGTGGCTGAGGTGTATTTAAATTCCTGTTAAACAGTCAACTGCCCCAAAAAAGAAACCCCAACATAGAAAACAAGCAAAAAGAAAAAGCTTTGAAGAAGGGGGACTAGGACACACTGTAATTATTGTGGTATGGCGGTACCTTGATTGACCAGCAATATGCTAAAATCACCTCTGCAAGATTTGCATGCTTCAGATTAGATGTGAATGCTGATGAAAGTGAGCTTAAACAGCTGCAATCTCCAATCTACTCTAAGTATGGGGTGAAAGGGTCTCATCCAGTTAAGCCTACTGCTTTTATAGAACCAGTCAACCATTTAATATGTGCCTGAATCCAAATTACATGCTAAAGCATTTACCTGCAATCCTCGACACAACAAATATGAGCAAAAGACTGAACAATGTGGCGTCAAAATTGTAACAAGCCTGAAGTTACTGAATGGGCAGACTATTTTTTGTGTTGTATGTTGTCTTTTTTTTGGTCAGACAAAAGCCTCTGGCACAGAATCAGAACTGGTACAGCAGTACAGAAAGTTGTCTCTATGCTACATTTATTTTTTATAGATATTAATATATCCTACGTGCTGCATTAGGGTCCTTTATCAATTAATAGTTTTACAAATATTAAGCCATAGTAATATTTAACTCAACCAACTCAATCTTACAAGTCTATCAACAAACTGATCACATGTACAAACGGGACACTGTACAAATAAACATCTGTAATCTATACCACAGCAGGTTAATCACCGGAGGAAGACATTTTTCTGTAAAACTGAATGACCCATCAGTGCCAAGTGACAAAGAGCTCTAGTTCCATATTGACAGTAATGAACACTACAGTGATAAATTTAAGTTCAGTCCCCAGAGAACACACTAACAACCGAAACAAAATGGCTAAAGAGTTGTTAAGTATGCAGGCACAGGTACAATGATTTCTGTTAAACATTTAGAGCACACCAGCTTCACAGCAACAGAAGTTATTTCCTCATTGGTAGTTAGAGAACACACTGTTATTAAGATATCACTCAGCAATAAATACCAATTTTTAACACTTCCCAGTATAGAGTACAAATACCAGAACAGTATCCTCATACCCATGTCAAGTATAAATTAATTTAATGAATAAAACTGCGTTAATTGCTGCCAGGCCTGTAAGATCGTTTGCATGTGTATGACTATGAACCAATTTACAATGCAAATGTGAAACAAGCACATGAGATTCTGATACTCCATCTTCTGAGCCAGTTGTTAGGTACTTACTTAAAGATGGCATTATAAAACATGCATTTAACTATAATTCTTAAATTATGTCAGAACACTGACCAATAGTTCATTGCTCACATTAAAAAACTTAAGACTTTGTAATCAAAAGCTCTTTTTCTGTGTTGATACAGTATGTCACAACAACCTCAAGTAAGACATTTTTCCTAGACCAAAATGCAGTCTGGTGGTGTCTGAAGTCTCATAAATAAGTCTGCAACCTCATGAAATTAAATTATAAAAATACAACTTTTAAATAATCTGGTATTAATTCCTAATAAATTCTTAGTATTGCTGCCATAAAAAATGACCCTAATTATCCACAATTTATTTTAAAAGGAACAATGTTAATGTGTCCAATATGAGTTTAAAAATTACTGGCTAAAGTCACCGATACCACTGGGTGGGAAGCAGTACCCAGTCCTGCAAGTAATGCCTTCTATTATCATAGAATTATGATGTACACTTGTCTACCTACTGTTAAGGGAATGCATATTATTTCAGTCTCTGAAACTTACATACAAGATATTTCTGATACATAAATATACACATAAACATGCCATAACAAGCATTATTACAAATGGAGTAAATACAGAAGCTGAATTTTAGATATAATCTATTTGATATATTACAATGCAGATAACATCAGGAAATTACACATTTTCAAATGATTGCCTTCAGTGAGATTTGACAAAATTAACAAGTAGAGTCAGTCAGCTGTGAACTGTGAAGCTGTATTGCAACTGTACAACCATAGCTTGTTATCTTACCACACGTTTTGTGACTCCATTTTAAGTGGATCATAGAGAAATACTTGTCAGACAAAATAAATATCCCAACAAATGAAATGCAAACTAATCCTTGCTCCCCACAGTCAGACCCCGAACAATTCAAAGAGGATCTGGAAAACATTTTAGTCATTCCTTGTAGCTAAATGCATGGTGAACAATGTAAAACTAGGTACGGTGGATAATAATTTGCTGTCCACATTAGCTTGCGTCTATTCCTCTCAGTGTCAAATACCAGTGTTGTTTAAGCTTTTATTTATTTTTTTTGTATGTAATAGAAAATAAAAGAGTGAACAATCAGGCCCCAAATGAATACAGAATCTGTGCAAATTTAAGGTCTTAATTCTGTATGCCCTCCCTGCCAGCTATTGCAGATGATGTTCGTAAAAAGAATTATTTTTCAGCAAGGGTGTACAGAATTGAGGTTTCATTTCAGGTTTATTTTCTTCAACTAAGTTAGGGTCACACATACACACACAGACAAAAAAAACCCTTTCACACTACCCAAGCTTCCAAAGTGATGTATAACCAGGCAATTTTGGTTACATTTTTGTACCATACCGGATCTCAGAAAATATGACTGCTTCTGTATTTGTTTTTTTCCTTAAAACTGGACAATACTTTTTAAGTGATAGAAAATGGTATTAAAGTTTGTTTGCAAAGGTATAAAATAAGTAGATGTACCATAAACAAATAAATAACTGCTTTTCTTTTCCAGAGCAGTACATATAACAATACATTCCCCTAAGTCATATAGTTATCATTTACAATAGACAACTTAATTTTACTAAGGATGCAAGAAATAATAGAATACAAGGCACAATCATTAAATGGAATTTTTCTTTAGGGTGTATGTTGACTTATGTCAGCGTGATATACCATAAAAAGTGCAGAAAAACAATGTGCAATGAGACCACTGTATAAAACATGATTGCATAAAAAGTGATTTGGCCTTTTAACCTTAATAATTGAAAATAACCAATCTTCCCCTTAAAATTAAACTATAAAGTATGACATTTTAAAATTTATTTTCAGTTCTAGTGCTATCTAAAAAATCCTGAAAAAAATTTATACCTGGGTAATATTCTATATGTATGTGTTCATGTATATATTAATATATACACATACACTCTTCTTTGTAGGTCATTTTAGCCTCTTCAGCACGTCTAAAGTTGTAGAAACAACAATCAATCTGGATCAGAAAGTAAACATCTTCATTCCATACCTTTCCTGTAATTTCCTTGAATCCTTTAACCAATTACATGTTTTGTCTAAAACATCTCTGTCAAAGGACCCCACCAGTGCATTATTTTCTACCAAAAGTACCAAAAAGGATACATTTCAGAACAATGTTAACCACTTACTATTTAAAACACACAGCTTTTATCACTGCAAATGGTATGCTCTACTGACACCTGGAAAGAAAAAAAGGCTCTCCACTGCACTGATTTTCAGTCTTTGGCACAATAAACAGAAATTTAGTGATTGATACAAGAATCAAGGTCTGAAAAATTAGACATTAGTCAAACTTTTTCCAATGTGGATATATATATATATATTTGTGATTACATTTTTGCTATGTTTGGCAGAGCTTGGATAAACCCACAGCCTGTGCTAGGCTTCCTTTGCAGCTGAACATTCCATCCCAACTGAAATTAAGCATTTTTAGATTAGCAAAGTTTGATATTTTTGTATTTAGTATAAATGTAAGTGAATTTACTGCCACTTTTTGCCAAAACCTGCATTCTGAGGCAACTTGACTTTACAATCAAGGTGCACCTTGCTTGGTTAAAAATAGACTTCTGCTTTCAGTTTGCGGCATTACAAGTTCTACCACCTGTTTCTTTATTGGTGTAAGGATACTATGCACTACTTGAGCAGAGTCGCTCTCAACAATGTGCGTCAGCCAGAAATTGCTTTCATTATTCTCAACTGTGAACAAAATGACTGTTGAAATGCATAACCTATCTGGAGGGCAATAAATAGCAAAAGTTTAAAATATATATTTCTTTCAAAGACTGCTCTTTCAGTTCTTTTTTTTTTTTGCTAATTTTTTCTCCTCAAGCCAGAACACACTCTTCCAACCCATAATAGCAGCAGGGAAGCAGAAGTCTGTTCTGCCATTCCTTAACTGTACCTGCTTCATAGCATTCTGAAGTAAAACCCCTGGTAAAAATTACCAACCAATTAAATTAGCTTTTGCTTTTTCAGTCAACTTTCGGACTCTGCCTCTGCTAGACGTTCCAAAAGTTAAGGAGGTGTCCTCAAACAATAGCTGCCTTTGCTCTTCCTCAGAGTCATCTTCATTGTAAAAGGCTGTCCTCCTACCCTGGTTTCTAGTTCTCATGTGAGGTTCAGAATCTTTAAGCTCTTCAGATCCCTCCTCCATAGGCTCATCTATCTTTTTCCTCCTGCTTCTTGTCTGCATTTTAACATTCGCAGGAACTAGGAGGTCCGAGCCTGGCTGATGGGTCTTTATCTTCCTTTTTGGCTTTCTACCCCCACGGCCTTTTTTTTGTAACAAGTCTTCCTTCATATTATTTTCAGAGAGAGAATTGCATGCAGTAGAAGCAGAGGCTTCTTCTGGTACATCCTGTGTGGTCTGGATTGCATTCTGCTCCGCAGCCTTCTGCTGTTCAACAATTTGCAGCTTTTTTGGTTTTCTGCCTCTCTTCTTGTGCACCACCTCACATGTACTGTTATTAGTCTCCACTTTCGGCTTCCGTCCGGGACCTCTTTTAACTGGAGGTTTTGAAGGCTGTCCACTGTGTCCATTTACCTGGATGCTTCCTGATGCCAAAGCATTATTCTTGCAATCTACTGTAAACAAACGAGAGTACGTGTCATGGAACAGATGTGGATTTACATTCACTTGCAAGCTGCCTTAATAAAATTCTTACTAAAATATCTGAATGGATTCGCAGTGATTGACAATCTGCAAAAATCTAAGAAACCCAAAGTAGAGCTCAAATAGCTTCATTCCAGTATACAGCGAGGACTAACTTCTAGCTGGGTTTACCTCAAGGTAGCCTGAAGAAAGAAAACAAACCAAGCCCCTACCCTGAAAAAAAACCCAAAAAAACAAACAAATAAAAAACCTCAGAAAAAACCTGGGGGATGGGGAGGAGAGAAAAGGAAAAGGCTCAAGTGTTCTTGGCTGACACACCACCAGTGGACTAAAACTTGTATTTGGTACCTGCAACAACGGTAAGCTGCTCAAGAAGCATTGCTGTAAGGATCAAGAATGCTTCCCAGCAGGTCGTTTCTGGAGAATGCTACCTCTTTCAGCTTGAGGTAGGATCCTTCACGGTCAGTTCATTAGGCTAGGGTTATTTCAGCAATAAGCCAGGAAAAGGGTAGAAACACGGGAGACACATACACGCACACATACAAAAGTATGCAAATTGGACAGATTTCTCATGTTTACAGACACGTGGCAGAAGGTATTTGCTTGGAGACTTTCATGGGCTATGAGATTTTCTTAGGTGAGTGGTACCTAACTTCCTTGTGGGGCATGTCACATGACCTATTACAGGTGTTCCGATAGCACAACCCTTGCCTAAAACGAGGCCAGGAATAGATTCATAGCCAGCATGACAGCTCATCCAGTTCTTTGATGGAAACGTTCATGCACAGCTCCTGCTCTGTTCAAATGTCCTCCATCACACACTAAAAGCATAGGCCTCTACTGTCATATGGGTGGTTGTGCAGGAGAGACGGGATCATGTCAACAACGTTCAAGTACCTCTGACATAACCAAACATCCAATCTCATAATGGGTGCATAGTTAGTCACATAATATGCTGAGGCCTTTGTGAGAAAGCTTGCAAGGAATGGACAATTTATCAGACCACAAGCTGCTTTTTCAGAAGCACGTAAGAGTAAGAAAGAAAGGAAAATCCTCAGGGAGAGGAGGACCACAAGGATTAACCCGATTAATTAGGCAGGGCCCAATCTGCAGACCACTGTTTCTTCATCTTCAGAGAAAAGACGCTTAGTGGATCTAGCTGCTTCACAGAAGCTTCACAACAGTTCAAAGCTCCTTCATTAACAGGAGAGATTTTATGACTAAGAGATCTTACTTCAGTCTCCACAGATGCTTTGAGTTTTAAGGTACCCAGACTCAAAAAGACCAAGCATGTTCAGTTAGAAGACTACATAAAACTAGATTCAATCAATCCTGTGCTATAGGACTGATCCACTAAACAGAAGCAGTAAACACTATATAGCTCCATTTTGCTGTGGTAAAAAGTGAAAGAACAAAGTTGCAGCTGTGATAATCTGATTTTATGCTTGTGGTTGTGCAGCGTCATCAAACTCAGCGTTACTGACCCAAACATAAGCCATACAAATTTTACTAGGTAAAAGCCACAGGCTATGGAGTGTGACCCTGCAAAAATCTGCTTTGGAATCTGAGAACTCATAATATGACCCTTGTCATAACTGAAATGAAAGTGCAGATACAAAAATTGGCTAGACAACAGTTATCAAATCATGGAAATGGTGTTAAAGAGTAGTCAAAACTGTGCTGATTTATCAAGAAGGAACTAAGTGTGACTCAGTTGTTCTATCAGACTTCCCTATTCTGCTAAATCATAACGCATACTGATTTCTACACCCACAAATTGTCACAATTAAAGTGCACCACTACAGCCACTACATCAGTAACTAGAAGGGAGAAATGTTCCAAAGAAACTCCATACCTTGTTGATTAACAGTGGCAGATTTTACTTTGCGCTTGACTTGCTTCTCTTTCTCAGGATTTTCTCTTGTGGAGTTATTCCTAGTGTGATGACTGTAATCAGACTGAGAAGGGACTGACACACTATTCTGGTTCTTGGAATGTTTGGTTGAATTCTCCAGTACTAGAAGGACAAAAAGAAAAAAATAAATGTTCTAGTCAAGTAGTTTATATCACATTCATTCTGATCTGCCTCAAAAGGAACCCATGTTCTACTATAAACAAACCATTTTGAATAGTGATCTAGAGGTAAGAAAGCTTCCTGGATAAAACAACACAGAGTAACTTGCTGAGTTTTCCTCTGAAGAACCTCAAAGGCCCTGCATCTTGAAAACAGAACCAGTCTTAACTGAGACAAATACACTGGGTTTCCAAAAAGTAAGTTTTATATTTATAAACATTCACATTTTAAAAGACCCCATCAAAACCCAACAAGAAAACCCTGAAACAGTGAAAAGCCCCAACTTGCCTGACTTTCCTGACCCTGCAGTAATATTAGACTTTGTAATTAAAGGCTTTATTGTTAAAGGCTTTGCTCCTGAAGAAGTAGATGGTTGCTCTGTAACAGCGACTTCTGTTGTTCCCCTATTGCTTCTAGTCCGCACAAGGGATGAGGTTTCAGCTGCTTTTCCATTCATCTGAGGTGGAGCATGTCTCAGTGCTGTTGACCGCACAGGTGCAGAAGACGAAGAGGTGGCAGCAGTTTCTGCCTTCAGCTGAGGTTTTATTAATCTCCTCTTCCTTTCAGGGCTGCAAAAGGAGTAACAATTTGGATCCTGGATGACCACTTTCTTACTCCTACGTCTGAGACTGTGGGAGTAAACCAACCATCTCTGTATAAAGCATGTTCAAAATACGACATTTACTGTGGAAATTCATGTAGTCGTGAGCCTCCAAAGAGTGAATCTTTACAATAAATGCTACAGTTACATGACAAAGCACGATGCCATCACTACCCTAACAATGCTGTTTTACTGTACACGTTTAGCAGTTATTCAAATTTTAAGGACTTACACTAGGATAGCACTAAGTAAAGTTTTAAACTCTTCCACATCATAAGGACTTGCATGTCAAAGCTACCATTCTGCAATAGGGAACAGTAAAGGAACTATTAAGAAAAAAACAATCCACACTAAGTTCTGCTGTACTGTCAAACTGGCACAGCATTTCATGAATACTTTACAGGAATTAACGTACCTGGATGCAACACTACTGGAAACTGAGCTGCTTCTACTTCTTTTTTTCCTTCTTTTCTTTATTGTATTTCTTTTATGAAAGCGTAGGGCAGACTTATAATCCGATAAAATAGAACTTATGTGTTCTTCAAAGAAAGCAGACAGCCGCAAACTCATGCTGTAAATCTAAAAAAGAAAAGCCAATAAACAAGCAAGTTGTATACTTTTCCGAAGCATCACTGTACTTATTTACCACTGAGCAATAGCTACAAAAGTAAACTGACTGATATGGAAATGTTTAAAGGAAATGTACAGTCTGTCCAAACAAATTTACACTAATCCATGAGTAGGTTTAATTATTTTCATGTCTTTGACAAGTGTGTTACAACTGAAGATTACACAAAAGTTAAAATTAGAAAAGCCACCTTTTCAACTGTCCCATTCCATCTGCCTTTCCAGAAAGCATCCCTTTCTAGCTTCAGCGGAAACTACAAAGAATTTTACTGTATCATACCAAGGGTGAAGAATCTGATTTTCGTCTGTATTAAGTTGCATCCTTATATCCTGTATTTGAGCATCAGTCTATTCCTTTGAAACAGGTTCAAGGCATGTATTAGAATTATGTAGGTGCTGATTCTTAGGCAGCCCCGACAGCGAGTGGGAGTGTCTATTACTGACTGAAGAGAGATCAATCACTGATCAGTCCTTCTTGCTAGTCACCTACCTACAAAGGAAATTTGTCCCTAGATTTTAAGACAATGAAGTCCTGATGATTAATTTGCTATTCAGAACAGCCAAACATAAAAGCTGCTAATAATTCCAGTTTAAGTAATGCATGTTACCAGAAGAAAAGCTACACAGAAGCCTTGAACATGTGTACACATTTATAACTTTCACTGCTTACAGTTACTGTACCTACAAGTCAATTTTAGAGAAAAGCATTATTAACTCCACCATTGGCAGGGTATTTCAGTATTAGGAAGAATGTAAACAGCTTTGTTTCCCAGAATTTCTAAGTATTTCATTACAATCTCATCACTGCATACTGATGAACAGCACAGAATTTCGTTATCCCTGCCATTCTCAATACCTGTGTGTTTCAGTCTGGGGCAACCTCCAGAGCAAGGGAGTTTGTGGTTCCATGTGTGTTTTCAAAACCTAGTTTCTTCACAAAAACACCACTTAAATTCCACTATTGTACCTACGCTCATGTTTCTACAGATCTGTCTTTCAATGTGGCTCTCCCTTAGCATCCCCTTTCAAGTATTTATTTTTGAACCATACTTGCAGAGCATCAGAACTTCAGGCATTTAAATAGCACACATTTCTCTAAAACCCAAAACTATACTACTTTCTCAGAAATATTCTCGTTTGAAGGTCAGAAATAATGAAGCTTGTTTTTAAAGTAATATCTCTGTTAACAGTGTCTCTCTTTGGGGGGGGGGGTGTCCAGTAGTTTTCAGATATAAGTATTGTTTCAAACAACAAAAAGAAAGAAAAAGACTTACCCTTGATCTTTTACTTGGTGTATAGGCCTTGGAATTGCTGAAAATAAGTCTCACATCTTTACATAACTCTGTTGGTGACTCATAGTTGCCAGCTTCCAGTGTTTCTCTAACAGTAGAAAAATCCATAGGAGTGTCGATAATATCTCTGTAATCCTGTTAAGAAATAGCAAAGCCATGTATTACAAGCTTTTCATACCCACCACGAGTCTTAATGGAACATTTTCATTAGGATGCATTTGACAAACCTGTTCAAAGCAAATGTCTTCTTTAAACAGATATGGAGGGCAGTTTGCTCCTTCCACTCATACACAATGAAACTCCTCAACAGGATCGAGGACAGAAGTTAACTGATATAAGACTTAATTAATTTTAAAAAAGGATTTACTGAAATACAGAGCTCAAAATTTGCATCCTAAGGGCTGTATGACTGACACACACTCATGAAGATAACTGTGATATAAAAGTGTGACTACAAGCTTTCTGGATGGCTTAACAGCTCAGACTTGGTACTAAGCCTAACATTGTTTTTACAAATTAACTTTAAAATATAAGTCTGGCTATACGAACCTCATCAGAGTTGTAGTACATCCCTACTGAAAACCAGAGCAGTTTCCCAAATGGAGACCTGACAATTTAGGGAAGTAGTATTAGAATAATGAAAACTCCACAGGCTTAAATAGGACTGTGTTCAAGCCAATGACATAACCTTTCCTAGGCTATGGGAGAAACAGAAGAATATCTGTGTGAAAAAAAAGCTTAAATACCAAAACGAAGTAAAAAAGTTAATCCACGAGAGCAAAGAGAACTTGTGTGAGTGCCTCTGAACGTTAAGCAGGTGTGTGACATCAGGAGCAGGGTGTTTCATACTTAAGCCTAAATAAGGTGCTCTCTTCTCTCAGACCACTTAAAGATCTCAAAACACAAAGGACCACTTGTAGTTAGGCCATGGAATAAAGCTTAGTTACTTAAAAAATGACTGTTCCCACTGACCGCAGAAGTGTCAAGACAGACATATCAGTGACGTCTGAAAGAGAAGCATTTCTTTTCTCTAATCGGGAAGATTATAATTTCCCCCATGTTAATCACTTTAGAGTGGTATTTTAAACAAAACCTTCAGATATGCTAGAAGGAAAGCATGCAAACCCTTTGACTTTGTTACCTAAACTAGACTAAAAGGCTAAACCAAATCCAAGGCAACAAGACTTTAATGTTAAAATATTCTGAAGTTACAAACTAGCTCATGGCTATCTGAATCCAGTGCAATCACCCAAGCAGAAAGCAAAACTGGGGAAAGTCATCATTACTACAGTTAATGGCTCACTACAGTTCTTCAGTGGGTACTTTTTCTGAATCAAGCCCAGATGACTGATATGAAAATTAGTTTTTGTACTTCTGGAAACAAAAAATGACTCATGACAACAATGCTCACACACAACAACCAAACACATGTACTTCACATATGACCATTTTTCGCTCAGAAAAGGGAAGACGTCTTAATTGTAAAAGCTGTAACTTACTTAACACGGGCATCCCTGAATACAAACCAGTTTGCAACTAAAGTACAGGAGAGTTTTCTGTAGAAACAGTACAGCAGAAATTTCAATTTCTTTTGCAATGACTTTAAAAACACACTAAACATTAATACAAGGCAACAACCAAGCACTGAAAAAAACTTCTGTCAACAGAGGTGCCTGAAGTTACGAGTTGGAAACATGGTCACAGTTTAAAGAATAGGAACCAACCACCTAACAACTGGATTATAACTAGCCTTCCTGTTCCAAAATACTCACTGGATATTCAAGGAGATCCACTGGTTGTCGAAACGGTTCAGAATCTTCACACTGAAAAATGAGATTCAGCAGCTCCTGGCATTGCTTCTTCCATGACTGAATATCATATGACTGAGCTCTATTACGTAGCCGCCGCTTTGGCTGATGATCCTGAAATGACAATGTTGTCTGGTATATATTAAATAAACTAGCTGTTCTTACACAATCTAATGGAAAAGATACCCTGCAGGATATAAATTCTAACTGATGAATTCATGACATGCAGCAGCACAGACAAAAATGCTTTTGCATTGAACAGATCACTAGAACAACACATCACTTTTAAGTTCAAAGCTTTCCAAAAGCTGACATTAGATGATAATAAAAACACTTTCAGTTTTGCATTCCTTTGTTTAACCAATGCTTGTCTAATTATTTGTAGCACTGTAAATCATGAAATAAGATTTACCTTTCTTTTTCTAGTGGAAGTTCCTGGCACATTTGTATCTTTCTCTTCTTCCTTTGAGCAAGATAATGAGTCGCATAAAAAGGTTAAAAAAATATAAGCATGTATGAGTAGGTGAATTCTTTTATACTTCATTTATAATTTGATTTTTTATAGTTCTATCCCTGTCCCTCTGGGAAGCATTTCATGTGACTGCCAGTTTTGAGAACCTCTCAAAATTCTCCAGCAAGCTGCTAAAGCATTAAAGGAGAGGAGCCTGAATTTTTACCCAGTTTCCCACCTGACAAACAAGAAACATTTAATTGACAGAGAAGTACACCCCACTCCCTGACAGCGACTGAAATTGGTACTTTTGTACCCAGCAGGACAGAGACAGCAGTCCTGTTTCTCCAGTTAATCAATGCCAACATCTTAAGACACAACCACTTACCTCCTCAGAGTCAGACAATACTTTCTTCTTCATTGCATTGTATAATGGAATTATGTCATAGCAACTCTGGTCTCTGTGTAAAAAGAAATACATGCTAACATTTATTTTCTATCTACACCTACGGGATCAACTATATTATGCCTATGATAAGAAAAATGTTTACAAAGCCATTCCCAAATGAAACGATAGTGTTTAGTGATGTATGAATACTAAGAGGACTGCAGTAATGAGAAAAGCTTGTCTTCAGCTCAAAAAGCTGTAAAATATTTCTGTACTCTGTAAAATACAGACCATTTAACAGTGTCAATGTTTTAAAATTGAAAGCCGTAATCTTTTACCATGAATGCATTAGCATTAGAAACATCTAACACTATACCACATAAAGGGCTCTGGGGCCCATCTAGCCTTCTAAGAAACAGTACAGAGGATTTAGTGTACGAAAGTGCAATTCAATACATTAGTACCCATAATGCAAGACAGCTGAAATGTAATTTTTATTTGTGTAAGGACTAACACTGTTATTGTATAAACCTGCATAATTAAATCAGCAAAACAAACACTGATTTTCAATTCTTGTATAATGCAGCAAAAGAAAGCCCAAAGGTGTTCTACTATGTAGCCATACAAACCACCGGAAAACCAGGAGTAAATACTCAGCAACTCTACCCTGGAATTGCAATCCATAATACAGGCTACTGTATTTAACTATAATTATCACTAGAAGAGCCTGGGGAGAAGGTGAGAAAAAGATCAAGCAACACCCCCTTCCCTATTTTCTGCTTTTTAAAAGACTTGGGTAATCCAAGGTCTAAGCCTTGGATTCTCAGAGGCATCTAGATAATTCACTCTCATTAGAACCAAGGGATTTGCCTTCCATGGTGGTCTAGGTCTTCTGCTCCAAACTAAAAATACAATTCTGGGCTTTATGCGCATTGTTAGTTCATTTACATGGGTATACTAATAAACACAAGCTATAGGCCATTATTATCATAGAATCATAGAATAGTTTGGGTTGGAAAGGATCTTAAGATTATCAAGTTCCAACCCCCCTGCCATGGGCAGGGACACCTCGCTCTAAACCATATTACCCAAGGCCTCATCCAGCCTGGCCTTGAACACTGCCAGGGATGAAGCATTCACAACCTCCCTGGACAACTTATTCCAGTGCCTCACCACCCTAACAGGAAAGAATTTCCTCCTTATATCCAATCTAATTATTAAGGAAGAATATCCAGATGTTCCACTAATTTAGCTTAGCCAATCAAAAAACACACTTGACAAACCTTGAGCTGCTTAATTAGTCACAAGGAAACCCCCATGTAGGCCGAAAATGTTAAAGAACAAACACAGTAGTAGAGAAGCCCTTTAGAAACACGTGTGTTTCTAATGGTGCATTTCACTGAAACTTGTCAGTTAAGTATTTTTTATTCTCCAGCCAATATCAGAAATCATAAGCACTGAAGATACAAAAAAGTTTGTGTACAGAGTCAAAGTCCTACATTTCCAAATATATAATGCAATTCTAATGCTTCAAGAGCACACAAAATAAAAAATAACAGGATTCAATTTAACACGGAGAAACTAAGTTACTAAAAATACCGTGATTTTTGTCACACTAACGAAGTATCTTCTTGTTTTTACAAGGCAGGAACAGGAGCATTCACAGTGTACAAGCAAATACAAGCAGTGGACACACTCAGTAAGCTCTTCTTACAAACTTCAGGCCCACTGATGTATCAAGTGACTGAGAAATCTGAAATATTTCCCATTCAGTTTTTCTACAGACAATAATAAAACATTTGACAGACAACTACTATCTGTCGACCTCAAAGCTTCCAATTTTTATTTTGCATAACACATTTTCAATCACACTAGAAATTGTAAAGACTTCAGAATTAAATGCCCACGATTACATTAACATAGGAGTTCTAATTTTGAGTTTGAATACTGCCTAACTTACCTCTAAATGTATCTATCACTCCAGGAAGTTAGTCAGACCCATTTTTATCATTTAGCAGAAAGTCTCTTCAAATAAAATGCCACGTCAATCTATGCCAATCAATGTATTACAAAACTTTATGTTGTTTTGCAAACGTAGGCATTCTTTGTCAAGATGAGCTTTATTCTTTTCTGCCCCAACAGCAGACAACAGGCTTATTCAAGCTGCAGTACTATTTCACTTTAAAATTCAGATCTGAAAAGGCTGAATACCTTGGGAAGAGATAGGAACAACAACAGAGCTACTAAGCAACTCACTTTATGAAGTGCAGCAGAAGATCTGTGACAAATTTGGCAGATTTGACAATAGGACTTCCAGGTTCATTAAATGTGCGAGTATTATGTTCTATGTACCGGACTTCCCACATTAATGAAGAAAGGCGCCTGTATATGAGGAGGGAAAAGGGGAGAGGAATTAAAAAAACATGCTTCCAGCAATATATATGAAACAGGAGAAAAAGCCTTACATCCTTCTTCCAATGTATTATCACATTCACCTTTTTGTTTTACACTAGATCAGAAAACATGCACGCTCTGAGATGTTGCCCTATGTGACCAGCAGAAGGCACCTTCCTCAGGTTTCCTGTTCTCATGTTATGTCCTGCAGTAATCTATACAAATGGCTTTGAGAATATACAGCTGACATTCCTTGGGATAATTCAGCTGTGATGCTTCAGCTTTCATACATAACCCAGCCCCTATCACCTCATAAGTCACAGCTGAGGATTACCAAAATAGTAATAAAGAATTTATTAAAAGTATATATTTTTCTGACAGAAAGACAATGGTAAGAGTTTCCTCCCATAGCTCCGATTTAATGATGTAACTATATGATAGCCACATTATGAAAAATGATGCACAAAAGCAAAAATAACTGAAAAAATAGACCCAAATCTAGAAAAAAACCCAAACAAATTAAACATTTGTGATTAAAAAAAAAAATTATATTATTTCAAATTAAAACTCTTACAGCATAGAAGTTACAAATACTAGTATGAAAGTAGAAGGTTATATGTAAAACCTGATGAAAAGCATAAGCACTTAAATGCAATTTAATAATGTTTATGGGTCCAGCATTTAATGCTATGTGATGCCAGTAGTGACTAAGAAAGTTTGTAACTATTCTGTTTGGTTTTGCATTTTTCAAAACCATACACACATGCCAAGACTCCTAGTTCAGAGAAGAGAAAGTGTGTTTTAAGGTAAGCCTCATGAAAAGCTACCAAAGTCACAAGTGATCTGAACAATCCCGCCTTCAGAAGGTGAAGAAAAAAATGTTACTGGAAAGCACAACAAAAGGTGTTGCTTATTACCTAACCAGGCTTTGGCAATAATAGAAACTAACAACAGAGGCTTAACTGAAGAAGGTATGCTGACTGCCAAAAATATCTTACTCTTTTGACAAGAGAAACAAAATACAGCAAAAAAAAAAATCCTCTCCACCTCCAATTGCAAAGTAGTACATTACAGAAGTGAAAGCTCAATTACCTTATAAACATGGAACAATAAATTTGCATTACTGAATTACAACATATTAAAAAAGAGGTGGCTTTTTTTCCTGAAAATTAAAAAGTGATTTTAATTTAGAATTCAATCTGCAGTTAGGATTCAAAATATTATGAATTAGCTTTGAAATTTGGCCCAAACCAAAACACTATCCATGGTTTACTCAAAACAAGTATTAGAAGGACACTGATCTTCAACCCAGAAATATCCCAAGAATGAAAAGAAAGTAATTTAATGGAGCACTCTTCTTCATAGATAATACTTACTGCAAAATAATACAGCACTTTCAATCCCTGGTTAGGAAAACATCAAAACTGTGTCAAAAAGTTAACTTCTGTTGCTGTCTAGCAACTGAGAATTTCAAATCTAGTAATTTGAGAAGCTATTTTCTGTGTAGCTTCTTAAGTGACATTACAAGATTATTTTTTTTAAGCACATTAGGACAAACACACTTGACATGTTTCTAAGATTTTGCTTATTAAAAAACAGGGTTTTGTTTTTTAAATTATAAAGTGGAAACTTAATCCTTCTGACTAAGTTTGAATCTTATTTGCATAAGCAGGAATCTGAATGTCACGTAACACTGAAATACATTTTGGAGAAGAGATGTACAATCCTTTTTAAAGTTTTATAAAAGGAAATCTTACCAAGGATAGAAGATGAGAGAAACAGAAAGCACACACCTGTACCTATCTCTTACTTGGGTATTATAAGACAAAGATCTACCAAAAATATGGTTGGCAGTGTTTCACAGCAGGAACCAAGACTTGGATCTAACCTGTAAAATCTGCTTTCCAGTCTTTGTTTAATGGTACTGAGGTCGGTGGGATATGCCACAACAGTGCAATACATTGGGTAAGCTTGGAGATCCACAGGTGCCACAAATGCAGAAGCAATATCTAGACAGAATGAAAAATAAATAAAAATAAGATATATTCCACAAACGTCCCTTGGCAGCTTCAAGATTCACATCCTCCCACAACATATGCCATTTCTTAATGTCTGAAACACTCTTTCCTTAGTACGTTTATAAAATAGCAACAATAACTACACTCTGAAAATTTGTGACATTCTCCATATAAAAGTGCTTGCTGGTATGTATGCTCTAAGTAGAACCACTGCAGTCACTACCCATTCAGTTGTGCATGAAGCACCAATGCTCCTCAGAGACAATGCAAATGCATGTAAGACACAAACATTTGAAAAGTAGATTTAAATGTATAAATTATATATATATGAAAAGATACAGCTCAGTATTGTTATTTACAGTATAGGGAGATTTCATTTGGTTTGATATTGCCACTCTCCCACCTTCAAAGCAAGCAATGCATTGAATTCTTACCATAAAGTTACAGTACTATTTCAATCTCATTAAGACTGAAAACTACACTCAAAGTAAAACAGAAACACATCTGTCCCTACCTAACAGCAAAGACTTCTAAAACTAATCCATCATAATGCTAGCAGACTGCTGAGCAATTTAAGTCTATGCACCTATACAAACTTGGGTTATTTTATTCTTCCTGTGTTTAGGAGCATCATGGGTGCTTACACACATGCTAACATTTTATACCTCAAGGGAAAATACAATATAAAACCATAAAAAACCTTTAGCGTCTCTCAGGAAAGTCTTTAAGAACAGAAAGTACCTTGCTGCTAAACAGACTGTTCTTCTTCTGAAAGCTGTTTACTCACTCTGAAGAATGTTCTAGCAACTGCTACTTTGTACCGATACATACCACATATGCTACAGTTAAACCCCAAACTAAGCAGCATGCCGTGCAGGGTAATGCAAAACACATAACCATTACTCTTAGACAACAGAGTGAGAACAACTAGAATTTCATTTCCTCACAAGTTTTTTTTTTAATGTAATTCTGTAATTTGGATTACTACACTGTATGGCTATTAACTTCCTTCAAGTACTTAAAAGATCTGTTAAAAAAACAATTATCTGTGACAACTTATACATTTAATTAATGACCGTTGCTAGCCTGGTCATAAACCCAAGACTGCTGACTTAACACAGTTTTCTCATCAGAAAACATACAGAAGACTAATGATTTAGCCCCTATTTCACTGGTGGATCTCAAACCTCTGGCACCTACTTTTGATCATGTAAATGTTGCAGTGATGTGTTAAATGTTTTGTTACCTTTTCAGATGCAGCCTGTAAAGACGAATTGCAACTGTAACGACTAACTTAAAAGCCATTTGCTAGTCAGTTGCATAGAATTAATCAATTACTTTTTCCTCAATATTTTACATAACTATGAGGGAGAAAACAGGAGTTAGAAAAGCCTACTGAAAGGACAATCTACACATTCTCGCTTTAAGCATAAAAGAGTCCCCTGACCGCATCTGCTCGTAATATAGTTAATATTCTGTTCATCATTAAGTTTGCCATTTTAACCCCAAGAAGATTCTGCTAGCCAAAGTAAAAAAAATCTAGGACTTGTTTTTCTCCTGTAAAACCAAAACCCCTAGCCTATTTCAACAGAATAGTTACCTTTGAAAAAAGGAGAAAGTTTAGGTTTTATACCCACTACATGAAAAAATATGTGCAATGCTAAAGTTTTGTTCCAGTTAATCTAGAAGTAAAAGGTGTATTTTATCACATTCATTTTCGTAATTTCAGAGGTACACGTGAGCCTAGTCCAAAAACATAACACAAAAGCATCTCCCATATTATTCAGCCTTTACCTAAAGTCATGAGTTGGTTGATCCCTGCAATAACTCTGTCACACTCCTCATCTCGGGTCCTGGAACCCCATTCTCCATCCAGAGGTTTGTAGAGCAGTGTTCTACGTTCATCATCTGTTAAAGGAACACTAGTTCCCAGTTCTTCTGGAAATACAGCTGGAACGTAGTAAAATGAAAATGAAATAAAATACAAATCTTTGTATCTTGCACAATACATATACCTGCAATTCAAAGATATATAACATCATTTTACTAACCAATGCAAACACATACTACCCAATTTGCTCAAAGACATTTTGGACGCAACTAGTATCCTTTCTGTATATTGCTGTATAACTTAAAAAGAATTATTCATGGTTACTTCTATGCTTACTTATATGAGTGCCAGTATTATCAAACATTTCCTAGAAAACACAAGGAAATAATGTGATTGTACTTTGTTTTTTAACCATCTTTTTATGAAATTTAAAAAAACCCCAAAAAACTAAGTGAGGAAGGAAGAAACACAATATTCTTCCCTGGGAGCAGTGCCCGAGCTCTGCTGTCCACTCTGCAGCACACCTATTTGCCACACGTGCTGGGCCAAATAGGGAGCAAGTCCTCCTGTTAATCAAACTATCACAGAGGCATATGCTGAATCTTCAACACACTGAACATCTGCAGTCATGCTGACAGGTCTCAGAAAAGATGACACAGGGCACCAGTATATCTTTAATCCTCCCTAGCTATACAAAACTGTACCTTTAACTGTATGTCATCTATCACAATTTTTTAACATCTCTATTTCCAACATACACTTTGTCAAAGGATAGCTGTATTTTTCTTTTGCAGTTCATTTATCTTAACCCACTTTCAGTTTAATAATTCCTTTAAGGATGTTCTTGAAACACAACTGGTTTGTGGGCTTTTCCCCTACTCCCCAAGAGAAACAGCATTATTTAAGTAAAATCATACAACATTTTTTTCCTTCTTTAAACACACTCTTTAAGCAATTATGTTATTAATGCACCATTACCATTAGTTGGTATCAGCTCCATGTCCCAAGGGCTCATCTTCTCAGTATCACCATTGTCCCAGCTTAAAAACCAAACAAAACAAACCCCACATTTAAATTATCTACTAATACTGCTTCAACAGTGTAATTATTTAATGTTTGTAAAATAACTATATATATACCACAGACAATGTTAATTATTTAATGTTTGCAGCATAACTATATATACACCACAGAGTATTATAATAAACTGGTACAGTGAGATGCATGACTGAATTTAATGCAAGCAAGTCGTTCAGTCAATCCTTCAAATGAAATAACTAATTAAAATAAAAGATTGATAATAAATTTACTAACCAGACATTGTAGCACTGAAATAAGCTATCAGGATAATCAGGCTGAAGAGGTTCCTGGCTGTCAATTGTTCCAAACCACCACGCATCATCTATCACTGACCTGAAACGATCACCTAGGTGAGAACACAAAACAATTTAATCAATACAAGGAACCTTACACCTCCAAGTAAAAGCAGTTTTTAGATGCCTTTGGCTTGATGTTGAATACAGAAATCCTTCTCAACATTTGCAACATCAACAGGCAAAACATAAGTCACGTTCAGTTAAAATAAAAATTAAAAATTAAATTATTTCTGAAGGCTGCTTTTAAACAAAAATTAAAGTTAATATGGCATTAAAAATTATTAAAAAAAGGGCTATCTACATGGTCTTCATATATGCATTTTTTTTTTCTTTCATATAAATGTAAGACATTTCAATGCTGTAACTTTAAGACTCAAATCTACTTGTCTTAAAACACTACATGTTATCTTAAAGTAACTGAGTACTGCGATGCTTTTGTAGAGGGAATATTTTGAACATTGCTGAGCTCCCTCTCAGTTTCTGAAGTGCTTTTCCAGGTACCCAAATGCAATCCAGAGGTTCATTCTCTTTACTATGCAGGCAATATGACTGATAAAGAATAAAATTTATTAAAGCTTTTCCAAAAGGTTAGCAAAGTAATTTATTGTGATCGAAATGGTTTCACTACTGTAAAGCATTTGCCTAGCTGAGAAAAAAGGTCACAAGTGTTATTAAAAAAATTACACGAGAATCCATGTATTACTCAGCATCAAAAAGCCCATCATTTTCTGTAACGCATATCAGAGAATTTAGAAACATTTTTTAGTGGTGTATTCAGTTCGCTCAATACAAGAACAAATGTAATTTGAAGCGCACGATTCTAAAAACTGCAGTTTTGTGTTTTCACGGCATGGAACATACACACTCTTTCTCAACTGCTGCAGTATTTGTTCTATTCCAACACATCCACGCTCTGCCCAAATGCTTGCTGCAATTGTCTGAATCAGTAAGAAGAAAATATATTCTCAAATTGTTCTTTACTGCATTTTTTTTCATTTAATGGATTGCAAGTAATTCTGTGAGAATTACAAAGCTTCCGTTAATAGTCCTAATTGTGATTGATTGTAAGAGAATACCAGAAATATCTGAAATGGCAAGATCAAAAATATAAGAGGTGATGCTTTATTATAAAGGAATAAATTTTTCTAAAGAGCTCTTAAAGCACAGTCTCCTAACATGTCATTCCCTAGCAATCAGTTTTACAACAAAATGTGTGTAGGTACAACTGCAAGTGTCCTCACGGGGCTAAACATTAAGCAGATGAAAACCACTTAAAGGAGTGTATCCTTGCAGCAGTTCTGATTTTTCAAGAGCCATAGCATTCCTGTGGACAGAACGCTAAACCTGAAAACAATTTGTTTGAAAAAAACCCAGAGAACAATCTCCTGAATCATATTTTTTCCAGTGTCCTTTGTGCTGCTTCATCTATGTGGACAGCACATCAAAAATTCTTACTGGAAGGATTTAGCACAGTTTCCCAGGACTTTTTAATCACCAGATGTCAGCTTGATAAAAATATAAACTGTAGGTTGAACTTAAAGTGGCTGCTATGTAAGAGACACATGCACACTTGTCTAAGACATATAGCTAAAGCTGCACAAATCCTGCCAGAATGTAGCTTTTAACCATGTATTAATCTTGTAGTTAAGCTATAATAAAACAAAGATGTGCAATAAATACAATCTGAGTAGAAATAAGAACCTGTCATTTCTCAAACTTTGTTCTTTCTGAAAGGATGAATATATTAATATACATTTAATATTAAAAAACTCCATAAATACAAATATTCTTCCCTAAACAAAAAAAACCCAAAGCAACCAAAACAAAACAAAAAATATCACCCCCCCCCCCCCCAACCCAAATGATAAAAAAAACCCACCAAAAAACCTAGCAAAACCCCCCACCAAAGCACCCAGGATTGTTATTTGTTAAAGGATCAATGCTTTAATGACTTAAAGTTGAGGCAGAAAATTTAATATCCATCAACTCTCCAAATAGTAGCTATAAAAATATTGATTTGTAGGCTAAGTGCCAGAAATCTCAGAGGAGTAAGGAAGATAGTAACAGTAGTCCTGAGAAGACAAACCAGCAACTGCATGACATGAAAAAAATACCAGTTTGTTGATGAAAAGTGAAAGTTCAGAAGACTTGACCATGTCAGATAAATCTTGGAGATTTCAGATTCACGTGGTTGAAAAGTCAGGAACAGATTCATGTACAGTTCTAAGGCATTTCTCCTTATCTATGACCTACTCTCAAGGAACATTTTTATGCTGTGTTCCACACTGCAACAAAACAGTGCATGATTTGTCCCAGATACATAAGTATACATTAGTAAAATATCTGAGGTGTCAACAAAGAGAGCAGGGTAGCAATCTGGAAGGCCTGTGGAAGAGCTGTAGCAGTTTTAACTGCAGGGTCTTTGCTGCCTCTGCTTTAGCATTTCATATAGCCTCAAAGAAGGAAGCTATTTTATTGCTAGTTCTACCACCCAAAAGAAGAACTGAAGAATGAACTCTAATGCACACTTGTCAGAGTTATAAGCTGGTATTAGACACCACTGGCCTTAAACTCATATTTATTTACGCTGAAGTCTTTATAAAAGGTTCTGGCACTTTTGATACTTTTTGTGCAGCTCTGATTCTTTCTACAATGCAAGTTTCTCAAAATACAGTTGCCAGCCCAGGAAGGAGATGCTACCTGTGCTTGTTCTCTTCAGAGCAGCAAGAGCAACATTTCAAAGTCCCTAAAACTCCTGGATTTCTATAATGACAACTGACAGATGACATCTGGCTAGGCCATCCACATACAGGGTATAGCAGCCATTATTCTACCACTGCTTCGATCTTGTGGGAAAATATGTATGGCATGTCAGAGCAAGACAAGACCACAGATCCATAACCGTCAGGAAAGAGCAAAGCTTGGTGACATGTCAGTAGATGTTGACCAATCTTGTCTCTTAAAAAAATCTTTAAACCAAAATGATCTTTAAAGAAGAAATCAAGGTATACATTTCCTACTGCATCAGAGGCTGAGGGTCTTTGCCAAAACCCCTACAGAATCAAAGATAAGCTGTCTTTCCAGACAACAAAGCATACAGTATGAGATGATATGGAACTTATTAATATGGTCATATGTAATTTACACATCTACTGCTAAAGCACACATCCTAAGTAAGCATATCATGATGTGTAATCAAAGGACAGAAGATCAATTCATCTTTCCTGGCAAAGTCAGGTAAGAAATGATAAAAAAGTTTTTAATATCCATCTGTGCCACTTCTTCAGGTTACTTAGTTATGATGAACTTGAGAGGACAGCACTTTGAAAACTGCAAATACAGACTAAGGAGGCAGTGTATTTACAGAGATGTTGTATGTTGGATCAGTCATTTCTACACAGGCAGTCAGATACACCATCATGTTCTTGCATTAAAATCCACCATTCTCCTATATGATGCTTTGCCTGCAGTGGCAAGAAATGCTGGCAAGTCAGCTTTGTAAATATTAGCCACAGCTCCCGAATTAAAGAACCACAGGAACTGAGCTGGTACAGAAATCATTGCTACTTTACAGATGATGTGTTTTTAACATTAAGATCTGCTTAATAAACAAAACAAAACTCAAACCAACCAAACAAAAAAACCACCAAAACAAAACACAACAAAACCAACCCAACCAAAAAGGAAGGCTATCAATATTTCACTTTTAGAAACATGTCACTTCACAGAATATACAGAGATACTGGGAAAGACATTAACGCTGTCTGTAATTCTGTAAATATGATATCATATACAAATTCTCTCTTAGGGGAACAGTTTCATCCTGAACTCTGAAAAACCAGTAATACTTGCTTAATCTTTTAAGTTTCAGAGACAATCTAAGGCTGTTTTTATGAATGAGAACATATGTATTTCCTGACCTCCTGAACCCCCCCCCCGCCACCCTCAGATGTTCATATCATCATAATGCAACTTTCTCTCCCCCTAGGTTAGGTTTCACTGTTTAAAGGTATTCTTTATTATCATATGAAAAAGATGACTAGGAATTAGATGCGACTGAAGGACAAGCCTGCCACTGACTTCCTCCAGTATACAATACTTGGAAATAATTAATCACGGGCAAAGTAAAACGAATAAAAAAACGTTCCCATTCACACCGCAGTGAAGTATAATCATACACATTTCAATAAAGCTAAAGCATATGGGGTTTAGAACAGAATTCAAACAAATACTGAGATGGGAAAGGCATTCTCTTTGTACAGTCTAGAAGTCACGCATTTCCTATTTCCAGTAGAAACTCCAGAAATAGAACGCCCCCCCCCCTTCTAGTTAGCAATGCAGTTGTAAGAGGGCCTCAAATCAGAACAGAGACAAGCAATATATACGCTACAGTAAATTATCAGTTACCAATAAATACATTTCTAAAAAGTATTCTTCATTTCTCTCTGAAAACACACAACTGAGATTTTCTTTGCACCTTCTTTTACATATTACCTTCTGTATTTTGTTTGCTTGCTTCAGGCATCAGTCAAGGGCAAAACAGGACTCCACATCCAAACATACAGAGCCTATTCTCCAACTTCAGCAGAGCATTAGGATTTATTTTCTGTAAGCTACTTCTTAGTAAGTTATCATGAAAATAGGTAGACACTTAGAAAAACAAGGAAACAAAGCCACACCAAAAAAATCCTCACCACACAACTCACCTATATTCCATCGCCTGTGTTTTGCATCGTCAAACTGCTGCCTCAAAACTAGGAAATCTATGACATCTGGCATATCATGATACCTAATTAAAACAGAACACATAACTATTAAGCAATAAAACAGCAAAAGCATAATGTAAAGCACTTAGGAAAACAAACAAACAAACAGTTTCAATTCAATACTTCAAAAGCAAAAGTTCAAGTCACAACATTAATGTTACCTTTTAACTTTCAACCTCAGCCCCTTGTCCCCAAGATGAAATCCCCCAATTTGAATATAATATTGTTTTCCTTACTTCATGGTGAACGATCCTCCAGTTAGTTTACCCGTATCAGGGTCAAGAAAAGCCAGTTTAAGACAGCAGAGAGTAGGCAATCCCACTTCATACTTAATCCCAACTATTTTCATCAGCTCTTGCTCCTGGAATAAACAAACTGTTATGTACCACCACTGAAGTTAAGATAACTGTAGTAACTTTCTAAAACATGAAAATATGGGTATACTGAAAAGATCAGACTTCTGCCAGAACATGCCAAAATCAAGTGTCTGAGATTCAGTCTTTTGAAACAAGCTGTTATTTCCACAGTGTAACTTGTCTGAAAAACATTTTGCTATGAAGTGTAACCACCTCACCTGCTCAAGCAGAGGCAAAAGGAAGTACAGTTTAAGGTTTGATTTCATTTCAATATTTATTAGACTAACTTTTCTCCCTTAATACTTTAAAAGCACATTAGAAACATCCATATTAAGGATTAGTTTCAGTTAAGTTTCCAGATTTTCAAAAACATTAAAATACAAACAAAATAGAAAATAAGTCATACCCGTAATTCCATTTTATGCCATGGCTGCTTCTTGGGATTAATATTATATATTTTGTTCTTTTTTGCCATTATAACATATGCTTCATGACCTTGTCGGAAATAGTAGACCTATAAGTGAAATGTGACAGTTATCTATCAAAGACTTTGAGGAGCTGAAATGCTAGCATATCACTTCCATACAATGTGTGTACTTTCTATTTTGTTACCACTTTTTTTCCACCTGGTTTTCCTGAAAAAGTCATAGGTTCTCAAAAAAACAACAACAAAAAAAAAAGGCAGTGGGCAATTAAAGCAGGTATCGTAGAAACATTTATAGAAATATATGTTCTATAACCATATTTCCTATGAGCAAAATATCCTAAATTACACAAGACAAAACCAAAAATCAGTAATGGAACCATCTATTTATTACTGCACTACAGAACAATTCAAGCAACATCAATTCCACTAATCCACTCGTTTATTCATCACTGTTGGACAGCCCTAAGATGACAATCAAGCATTACTAAATTCACTGTCTGGCTAATCATATCCTTTTAGAATGAGAAATATATTTTAAGAGGAAAATTCTGCTGTTTCTTATTGTTCTTGTTAAGATTCTGGTATTTGCTTCACTGAACAAACAGCCCAACAAAGACATGAACGAACAGAATATTTGAATTTGCACATTTTAAATTGAATAAGCACATTTCAAATGCTTATTAATTTTTTTTAAATCCTCCCACTACAAATTTCCACGGTTCAGACATCCAGAGTCTATTAGTTTTACTTTGACACTGCTGTACATGGTATCATGTGGAAGAATGTTTCTGTTATAAACCATCACTGTAATGAAGTAGTATGCTGAAAACCTTAAGCATATATTCAAGAAACGCAAAACACAGGTTTTCCAAACTAATTAGAACAAAGATCTGACTAAACAGCTGTATTCCAGCTATGATGCATTCCAAATGCAATAATCTTCTGTTTACAGAAGTGAAAAACTTTTATTTTATAAATGGCTCTAAGCATTGCGTCTTCTGTCAAAGGAACAAATTCAGAAAATATCTGCAGAAAAAAGAACTTATGTTTTTTCCAGGAAATCATACTTTTAATCTTGATAAATTCCTGCTTCTGCACACTTGCTCTAGTACCCAGACAAAACTACTATTTATTGTGCTAATAGCAGAATACCCCAATGAGTAAGCATTGTAGCTCCATAATCGAGACAGGGGAATTGCAGTCACATCTCTCTGGTTCTTTCTCCTCACCCTCAAAACACATGACATAAGGTCTGTAAATTGGAGTATTTAGAAAGGGAAAAGGGATGATATGTGCTATTCTTATGCGCTGAGAACTAAATATAGCACTACTGGTTTCTCTTACTTGTTTGTACAGCTGTAAGAGAATGAATCTGAAATCTCTCTCCTCCCAAATCTTATAAAACACACCAACCATCCACCAAAATGTTCTAAGGCCACAGGAGACCTCTTCTCATCACCATCTCTAATTAAACTGATCTTCTATTCGTATGGATCTCAGAAGTAACTTACTAGATTAATAGCTTCTTTTCACATTTTATGCAAATCTGGGGAGTGCAAGCATCAGAGATGGAATTTTAGACAGAGCAGCTTGATTACAAACGTATGCTCTATTAGCGAAACTATTTCTACTTTCTAGGCACAGGACATGAAATTTCCTGTTCACCAATATAAAGCCTTTTCCAGCAAAAGGATGCAGCCTACTTAGATATTCCTAGTACATACGCTATTCAGCAGGTGCCAAACTAAACACACCAGTTTAGCTTACTAAATCAATATGATGTTAAAGTCTCCTGAGTAATATGATACAGATAAATCCTTGGCTGCCTCAATTTGTCCAGATGGTATCAGGCACCAAATATATTTATTTGGACTTGAACTTTTGAACAGCATAGTCTCCAAAACATGCTTGCTGGAGAGTATAAATCCATAAGCATTTTCTCCAGTTGCAATTCTCAACTTGAAGTGGTCCTTCCCTCCCTCATGAGCAACAGTGACGTAACTTTTGCATAGCTATGCTGTGAACTGCATCAGTGAAGTGAGCCAGTAAAAACAAAATAGCTTGCACATTCAACCTCTGGTCAGGTTCAGTATCTGAGGTGGTGCCTACAAACAGCTCTGGCTCAGGACCAAAGTTAATCAACTTTGCCAACACGTCAATTATTTCTCCAACTTCATTCTGAAGGTGTGAGCTCTACAAGCACTCTGTTTAGTACCTCCCAGAAGAGCCAAAAGACTACACATTACAGCATAAGGCAGCTATTTCCTCTTATTTTAACCTGAGGAGATTTTAGGAAAAATGCAGACTCTGGTTTTCAAGATTGCCTTCTATCTGATACTACTTATTCATACAATTCACTGTAATGTTCACATTTTCCAAACTAGAAACTAGTGGGTGTCCTTTTGCTACTGGGCTCTGTTCACAAGCTATTTACAGTCCAGTTCCTATAAAATACATGTATACATAACTTCCCTTATGATTTTCAGGGGATAAGAGACCAGCAGAAGCTTCTCAATATCAGAAACACAAGGGAAAACGACAGTATCAGTTTTTCTTCAGAATAAATAAATTTACAAACAAACAAAACAAAACACACACCCCACCCTCCTCTCAGAGGCTTAATTCCTGGGTTTTATTTCAAGTCCCAAACCGAAGTTTAATTAAACTTCAATTTGTATTTGATCTTTTACCTGTTATTCAGCATATAAGATACGCTATCACTAATAACTAGTTCCACTACATAAAGCACCTCACACAGCTTGCATGCATGTCGTAAGGGAACACAGCGAACGTAGTGCAAGAAGGAATGTTACCACAGTAGTATGGAATAAAAGTAAGCTAAAGCAACACTGGGAAAGACTAAAGGGACTGAAAAAATGTTTAGCCAGATAAAACAATATTTTGAAGAAAATCCCAAATATTCTGATAATAAATCTCTGGGGAAAAATGCAAAGATGAGAACAGAAGAAGGCAAAAATAAGCTGAAAGAAGCAAGAACATAGAGGACAAAAAATACAATACCTCATCCCCCATCTGTGGCACAAATGGGCACCGACGAGGAACAGTGTCTGTAATCCATGCTGAAGGCAGCCATTCTTCCAGTGTCAAACCATTTTCTGCCAGAACTCCTACAGCCAACCTCTGAAGAAAATACACACAGAAGATGAATATGAATTAAATAACATTTGAGGAAGCCCTGTATTTTGGGAAGTGTCTTATTAAAATCAACTGTCTTGGTCCATAAGACAAATACAGGTGCCAATTAAGGAGCCCCACGAAAGGAGGAGGGAGAGATTAACAAACAAACAGAGGTAAAGCATGTGGAAATGACCAAGATTGGGTATCTCCATGTTACTTAATGGTATATTTTATTATAATGTGCTGTGGGACTGCAGTTTCAAATTCTATGTGCTCATACCATGCATTTGTAAGTAACAAAGCTCACTGCAGTTGCTGGTCCTAAGCGTATACTGCACGTCTATATCTGATATGCCAGATAAAACAGGGTTTTATACAACCATTCAAGCAAGGTTGCTTTGAAATTAACAGAATCTTGTCCATGTACAGGAGGAAACCTTGGCCAGTTGTACAGAAATCTACACCATATAGCCACTGACAGAAGACTCTACCTGCAGACTGCAAACAAGATACTCCAAGGGTAACATATTCAAATGCAACAAAAGTAACTCAAAATTTCCATGTTTACTGATCTAAACTGGAATGACATGAATATATTTGAAAGCAAACAAAATACAAAACAGACAAACAGCAGAACTCTGATCAAGTGAAATTCCCCCCTGATAGAAGTATAGCAGCAAGCATAAAGCAAACATCATATATCATGGAACTGATAGAAAAACACGACATGATTGTGCAGACTAAGTGCAATTAAGCAGGAAGACAATCAGTACAGCTGGAAAAACACAAGCATATGTTATACTAATACTCAATATATCCATAGAAAGAAGTTTCTGGTCTGTGAAAAGACGGTATTAAGAACATTAAAACTGTTCCTTAAGCGAAGCGCCTCATACTTAGGAAGCGTATCATTACAACAATCTATCATTTGACTTACAAGAGTCAGTAATTATCATTTCTCACAAGTCACGATGTGTTTTCAAATTAGACAATATTAAGTAGCACATGTAACTGAATCATAGAACAAATTCTTTCTAAGACATCAAGAGTGAGCATCTTGCAATATAAAAAGATCATCTAACCTTTTGTTTTCTCTCTTTGGGTTTCCTCTTCTTTGGTGATGTTGACGGTCCATCTTTCTCCTCAATTCCTTTTTTCCTTTCCTTTTTAATTTGCTTCTTTTGTTTTTCAGGTCCTTCTTCATCTTCTGAACTACTTTCCGCTTTCTTTGTTTTAATTTTAGGGATTTTCTTTGGTGGTTGCAAATTGATTCCTGCATCTGCCGTCCAGTCAGAATAATCACTTGAGTAGTCACTATGTATCATACACCAAAATAAAAAAGAAATTAAGAAATGGAACTTAAAATGCAATTCAGAGTGCATTGGATTATAGGATATAACCCAACAGAAGATCATACTCAACATTCTAAGTAACTACAATATTTTAACAGTTACAACCAGTGCCTAAACTCCTATATTCTATCTACAATTTACATGTTAGTAAACTAAAAGCCTTGAGATCATTCAATCTTCCAAGAAACAGCTTCTAGCACCATAAGAAATAAACTGCTGTTCACTAGGTCAATTCAAGAATGATACATGTGAAAATCAGGACTTCTCAGGACTTCTGATTTTGAATAGTTTCAACAAAAGTTAGCAAAAAAAACAAACACAATTCAATCTGCTAAAGAAACCAAGGATGGTGTGAAGCTTCCTCAAGCTTTGCTCTCTAACTTCAAACCAAGGGTCAGCGAGGCATTCACACAGCACAGACTGACAGTCACAGGAAAAGGCTACAACATGCTTGAAGCATGCATGCTACCATCCTGCAAAACCAAATGGAAGCAATTCTTCTCACAAACAAGGATGAAACCTTTCCTAAAATTTAGTTAGTAATATAGCTAAAAATTAAACCTTGAAAGTTTTAAGTTCTTCTGCATCTTTTCTTCTAAATGTGCACAATTTTCATTATTACTCATTAACTGCTTACAGAGAAGATTATTTAAAATATATCAGCTGGACTTTATAGTGTCACTTACCTAGAGCTGCCATCACTGTGCCATGCTCTTTCATCATCTTCTGATGTTCCACCACTGGCAACAACTACTTCCCCTTCCTAACATTGCGGTGGCAAAGGGGAGGCAGAGAAAAAGAAAGCATTTTCTTTACACCTCAAAAAACTTTTAACACATGACAATATGACTAAAACTCTCTAGGCTTTATATGTGTTATAAATATTTAGCAGTACAAAAGCTTCATACAGGTAGAAAAGCATTTTAGTTTGCAAATAGTTATTTTACTTTAATGGATGTAATGAAATGAAAGAAAGAAAACAGTATCTATGCCTGGACAGATGCACAAGTGTAGGGCAAGATTTTTTTAACATATAGCCAGTGGAGTTCTGAGTGATTCTCAATTAAAGAGGCTAGCTTGCCTTTCTGAAAATCAGTTCTGGTCCTTTTAATGCAATTATTTCCACATCTTTTCAATTCATATCAAACAAAAACTCGATATGAACTTTATATACTCTTACTACTCCTTTCTCTATTAGAGCTACAGAAGCACAGAATGGTTGAGGCTGGAAGGGAAGATGTGTGGAGGTTGTATTATCCAACCTCACTGCTCAAGCAGGGCCACCTAGAGTTGGTGACCATACATGCTAGGCCATACGGGCAATACTGATTAGGCTTACAAATAGAGGGAAGACATAGCATTGCACACGTACACTTCCTAAAATGCCCTTACAAATAAGCATTTATCCCTTTCTGACAATTATTTTTAAGTAATATTAAATATACAACAACATGTAAAAACCTAATTATTTATAATTTTTAAAGAGGTAAAAGAAAACGCACAGTGGAAAACTCAACATGAGTTTCCACTAGAAACAATATTTAATTAGCTGGGGCAGGAGCTTAACAAGTAGAAATGGAATACGTAAGATTGCCTCATGAATAAGGATCTTACATCCGAGGAACTGTGTCCATTTTCTAACTCTTCTGCAGGCCTTGCAGTTTCTTCTACTGCGTATCTCGTACGGTAGTTGTGCTGATTAGCTTGCTGCTGTTTTTTTGAGTCGCTCATGTCTAGTAAATGATCATGAGAATGGTTCTGTGAAAACACAAATGTCAGAATACGTAATTTTTGTGTACACATTTTATTATTACATAGTATTTTAATAATAGGATTCCAGGAAGCAACTTTTGCAGGAGCAAGAAGATACAAGCTTCAACATCACAAAATGCAAACCAGGCCACGAGTCCAAAACTGAAGAGCTGCTGAAGAAAGCATTCCGTGTCCACAGCTGAATATAAGCAACAAGCAGTTCAGTACATTCTGGAAACAAAGAAAATTTCTTCACAGGAATAATAACAAGTTTTCACCTTTAATTACCAGAACTATTCATTCTTAAAAACTACTTATCAGTTAACTACTGAGGAAAGGGGACTCTTACAGAGAACTCCCAAGTGTGTTATTTGGCAGCTGAGTGGTCAGATCTGTCAGAAGAAGCACCCATATGGCAATACATCCCTTGCCATACAGTGATGACTGTTAGCAAGTAAAGGCCTTTAAATGGTATGATGATGCATGGAACAGTTCAAACAAATGAGTCAGTTGGAAAGAATCTAAATTCTTATGAATATTAGGAGAATGAAATAAGGCTGTAATTAAGAAACATTCCACATTCCAGCATTAAGAGATTTTGTTCATCCTGTAGAATATATATAATGCAAACACTTGCTCTCCCCACAAAGTGATTTATCTTGTCTTAGTCCCCAAGCCCTGGCAAAACCCCAGACAAACGAACAAAAAAACCCAAGAACCGACCCCCGACCCCCCCCCCCCCCCCCAAGAGCTACAATCTCAGTTTCAGGAGTTTTGTGCTCATTTTTTGGCATGAATATTCAAATTTAAGCCTAGCTCACACTCAACTGAATAGTTTTTGGACCCATTTCTAAAGGCCACAAAAGGTGGTATCACTTCCCCAGTGCTTTCTTCCATAAAGGAAACCTCAGAGATCTATTAGATGGTGATATGGTTGAAAACACAGTCACAGAGATGAAGAAAGCAGAACTGGAGCAAACCACAGAAAGATGCTAATATTAGCAGAGCCTTCTAGCAGGGCAGACTACTTGTACCTGTGCCTCCTGGTTTTCCTTTTGTCGGGAAGAGAGTATCTGTCCTGTCATGTATAAGAGTTGATTCATGAGGTTAAATTTTCTCATTGAGGAAAAAAACCCAACGCAACTGTTTTTTGGTGAAAACTGTACAATTGCATTACAGTTTCCACCAAAGCACATCAGACCAACACAAACTGCTCTGTGCTCTACTCAGTGAGCACTGTGCTTCGTTTTTCTGTCCAGTGAATTCAAGTTGGGTAACCTAGCACTGACAGCACAGCTACCAGAGACACTTTTAATGAGACTGCTCAGCAATCAGCGTTTTATCATTACCCAAAGTTTTGAGACCTAGGCCATTCCTTCTGGAGTCAAACTGGCAGCACTACCAGATCTCCCCAAGCTGCTCTGACTTGACCCAGAACAGCTCCAGAGGAACCCTAAGACTAGTGGCTGAGCCCATCATACAAGGGCTGAGCCCTTCTGTCCTTCACTCCTTGTCAAGCTTTCAAGATTCACTGCTGAAGCAGAGAGCTTACAAGAGCCAGTGTTACAGCAACTTGCTTCTGTCACTGAATTGCAACTTTTTTTATAAAGCCTGTCTGCCTTTTAGTATCATGAAACACAGTATGAAAAAGCACAGACAACAGAATGGAATCACAGAAACTCAAATAAATTAGTCAAGTATCCTTTACAATAATGAGGATGTATTTTACAGAAACTATATCACAGCCTAACAAAAATAATGTCTTCTTTCTAGAAACTAAAGTCCTAAAAATTTACATCCCCATTTCTATTCAGAGGTGAGATTTCTCAAATGGATGTTATAAATATAGCTTTTCCCTACTTATACTGAAACTATGGAACCTTGAGAAACTGAAGCGTTTTGCATTACTCTGGCTTTGGAAAGAGTTGTTCTTTTCTGGCAATTCAAAGCCTGAGGAAAAAGAATACCCCCTCACCCAAACTATTCCTTCCTGGAAGCAAGTAACACGACTGTATAAAATACTGGGCCAGAGTGATGCCAAAGGGTAACAAAATTGCTCTGGAAAGATTCAACAGCAAAACAAGAATGGGTAATAATAATAACAATAAACCCAAAATGAAAACCAAAAAACCCACAAACCCAAAACATCCAAACACACAAGTAGTTATCCATAAGCAACAGAATGACAGAATAATTGAAGTTGAAAGGGACCTCTGGATATCACCTTGTCCAACCCCACTGCTCAAGCAGGAACCTTAAAAGGTCTGCCATGTCTTGCTAAAAGAAATAAAATGTATTTAACATGACTCCTATTCCACACAGCTTTGCCAAACTGATGAAAAGCTGCAGACCAGGCAGACCTTTATTTGAGGGATGGGTGGATTCAGGTGTGAAGGTCTGACTAACAACAAAGTACTACAATCTTTTTCTGAGAAAATGGAACCTATCACCAACAGGTTCAACAATGACTGAAGAAACAGCTGATAGTCTCTACCTCCTGCCCCCCAAATATATATCCTAAATAGAGTCAGAAATTAGACTCTCAACTCTAACGCGAGGCTTGGAAACAAAGCCAAGATAACCTATGATCTGAGGTTCAATCAGCACTTTCTGTTCCTACACTTCGATGAACAGTCATATACGCCAAGTACTTTGTATCATATCCAAGGCTTCCAGTCAGTATCAGAGCACATCTACAGGTAAGCCAGATGTTACAGCTATTGTCAGAACAGCTTTTCTGCAAAATACAAATGATGACATTTCCTGTGTTTGAGCAGGACAGATACAAACATGTCATCTGGACACTGCTGAGCATCTTTGTAACACTATTTGTGAAATACACACTGGAAACTCAGCAGTGTTCTGACAACTAAAACGACCGCACTCTACTGTCCTTAAGACTGTGACTCCACCAGGAAGCACAGCTTTGCTGTGCCCTCGTACAGGGCTGCAGCTATTTTAGATAGCTTTGGCTGTAGCACTTTCATACTGTTTCTTCACCAGCAGTATCTATTCTTTATCTAAAAATAGGTCCTCCTTAAGAAACAGGAATTAGCCTCTACTAGAAAGTTTAACAGGGGCAGGGCACAAGCATATGTCAAGTATCAGAACCCTAACATTAAACAGATGCTTGCAGCCTCTTTGAGACAAAGAAAGGAAACTTCGGCTTTTTCGTCTGCATATGATTTTCACAACATTGCATTTGAAATGATATGCTGAAAGTCATTGTAGCCTACACAACTGTGTTCATTCTTGACTAGATATGCTATTTAAATTCTTCAATCCAACTTTTCTCTATGAACTTAAATATCCTCACCGAATTTAAGTTCTTATTTTTCTGGAGGGATACGTTTGCATTACCAAAGTCATTAGCACATACCTTTGCCCAAGTTTAACATTCTTTGATGACCATGAGCTGTGCCCAGACGATAAACAGAACAAATCCCCCAAGCTATTACAGGTAAAACAGTTTTTATTTCACAGAATGGTTGATGATGAAGGGACCTCTGGAGGTCACTGTTTCCAATCCCCCTGCTCAAGAAGGGCCACCTAAAGCCAGCTGCCCAGGATCACGTCCAGACAACTTCTGAGCATCTCCAAGGTCGGAGACTCTACAGCCTCTCTGAGCAGCCTGTGTCAGTGCTCAGTCACCCTTACAGTGAAGGGCTTCCTTATGTTCAGGCAAAACTGCTTTTTTTAGTAGATTGTGCCCCCTGCCTTTCATCCTGTCACTTTCTGACTAAAGAGCACCCTTCCATATTCTCAAATCTGGATCACTGCTTGCAATTACTTTGTTTTCACTCTTAACCACATCACGTATGTGTAAGACTTTAGTGAGAACTATTCCAAAGGCAGTGAAGATAATGGGCACTAAGCAGTAAGTGCTTAGTCTCTCAGGTTCTACATTATTTTGCTCTTAACATCTTGCAGATTTACCTGGTAGTAGTGTTTAAATAACATATAAATGGAGAAATTACTACTTTTGAGGAACACAACTAAACAAAATAATGCACACATTTCTCATCACTGGTTTCTGTTAGCTTACAATAGTCATTGCACCTGTCACAGAGGCCTATACTTGTGTCCATCCATAAAAAACTCAAATTTTAATTCCTTCAAATTTCTGCTTATAATTTCTGATTACCTTTAAGCTGATATATTTCATTTTTCTCATTTTTTACTAGAACACACACCACATCAACCCACTACTGTATAAAAATTTCACACTCTTCCAGTGTTTATTAAAATGCTCTGTAATCCCAGTAGATTGATAAGCTAATTACTTGGACTGGGAACATTTACCTAAACATGTTACTTCCCTCACTTCCCATCTTCGGCATGGTCTTGAAAAAAATAATCTGAAGTACAGTTCCACTCTGAAAATTAGGAGATTCCAATGTCACATTCTATCCTCTGTTCCTCTTTTAATAATAAAAACCAAAGAAAACCCTATTCCTTACCAACAACTTTGAAAGTCAAGCAGAGTTCTTTATTTAACATGCAGATCAGTGATACTAAACATTATTCAGGTCAAAACACCCAAGCTTTTAGGTTCTCTCACACAAGTCCATTAGTCCCTCAAACAATGACATACAACCGCTCCTCTATATGACCTGTGCCAAAGAAATGTGGGGTTTCTAACTTTAAAAATGAGAATGCTTACGTGACTTCCATCTAAGTTGGAGATATTGTTAAAGAAGAAAGACTAAGCTGTGATTCTGTGCTACTTTTAACACACCCTTATAATGACCCTGGACTAAAAAAAAAAAAAAAAAAAAAAAAAAAAGAGGTAATAGTACTTGGAATCTCCTCAAAAAGTAATTACAGTTGCTCTGTGTTCTCCTCTACTGACCTATGCTTTTAGCTTGTAATCCAAAATGCTAACATTTGTTCCTGCCCTCCTTTTCATTTTACTTCCATATTTTTCGCTCTTTTCAGTTAAGGGGAACAAAAGAAAATACATTTTTCTCACTACATGAACAGAACTGATAAATTTCACAAAAGCTGATATAAAAAAAGAGTATTTCCTACTGGTACAAATACAAATGAAGTTGCATATGAGAACAATGTTCTAATACAAGCTCTGTTTACTCTGTTCTCAGACCAGCTGACAGTACCGTAGAATGACAGACCTCCTAGAATTTTTGATGCTGTAATTTTTAAGTCTATGCATTACTAGGTGACAATGGTTTCCCCTATATTTCATGTAAGGTCTTGCCATCTCCTCTAGATCATAAATTCTCTCATTAAAGCCTTAAAAATTCATTATGCAATACAAAAGGATTGTAGTCTCACAACACCACTGTAATACAAATGACAAGGTATCAGTATCAAAACCTGCTGCACACGCTCAAGGAAAACGAAGATCTACACAATACTTTCCAGTTCTATCTTCAACTTAACACAGCTTGTATTTAAACCCAGACAGTTACTGTAAAGAACAGCAGCAGAAGAGCTCCTATAATTTACTAACTTCTATTTAAAAACCCTTAAAAATATCACGTAACAGCTTCTTGAGTGCAGTCAGTCTTGCTTCCCTTTCCAGTTTATTTGATATTATGGACACTGCAGAAGGTGACAATTCCAATTCACCATGCCTATTGTTCACTCCTGGGCAGAAGCGTTGATCATGCTAGCCATAAGCAACAACGCAAATAACTAAAATCTGAGTTTAATTTGGAGACTCAAATCACTTATGATCAAGCACCCTTTTCTTCTTGCAAATTTGCTTATTTAAAGCCCATTTGATATCTACTCATTTCTGAATCCCTCTGAGATTTATCTCAAGGGATTTTAATTACTGTACTTCTCAACCACCCAAGTTCTCCAAGGAGAGACACATTTCATGAAGAATAAACTACAAGGAATGTCAGGTTTTTTTGTCACGAGATGCAGTATCTTATAGGGCTTAAGAAGGATTTATTTAAATGTTCTGAAAGTGTTACTGAATTCAACAGTAATTTCTAAAAAAATTTACTGACATTCTCAGTTACAGAGACCATGACTATCTGTTTTTTGCTCTGTCTCCTCAGGACAAAGGTGGGAACTGACTAAAGAATTTACCAAGTTCTCTCCCTCGTATTCTGGGCATCACAATCCAGATCAGAGACCCTTCAAGAACTGAGATACATGAAGGACATAAGCTTCTCTGAGTAAGTATAGGAAGCTGAAGAAAGATTTTCCCATCCTAGCTGTAGTTCTGAAGGATTTTAAGGGCATAAATATCCACAATAAAATGTGGGGTTCAAAAGGATCCAGTGCTACCTTTAAAGTTTGGAGACTAAAAAATGTCTCCTCTGAGAACAGATTTCCAAAAGCATCCATATTAAGTTTCTTTGTTTCAAAGCTGCAAGAGAAATAATTGCTGAAACCAAAATGCTGGCCCAACTAGCCTACTCTGCTATGTTTGTGTTCTAGTGATATTTTAGGAAAACTGTAATCCAATGAGAAATTTAAGGGTAAATTGGTAGGAGTTCACATAACCAGGAAGGATCTCCTAACTAGGTTGTAGCTGCAGTAAAAAACAAACAAAACAAAAAGTGCAATTGTTTAATTAAAATGAAAGAAAGTCTATAATTCAGCACCAAAATATATCCCCTCAAGACAAGAAACAGCTTTGTTAAAATCTGAATTTGAGGCCTGCATTCCATTATTCCCAAGAGGAAAACAGGAGTTACCGAGATTTCTGGTGCCTTGGTATTTCATTAATAAGCCCTGCCATGTCAACCTTCAGAACCATAAGTGGCACAGCTTCTTCCCTCTATGTACAAAACCTGGACATAACACTGAAAAAAAAAAAACAAATGGTTGCTTGCTTTACCTCAGGCAAACACTACGTTCTGCCTGTGGCACTGAAATTAGTATGTCAGTACCACTTCTTAAGACAGCAATGCACACAGCTTTGATACACAAAAGAAACTGGAGAAAACCTGAAAAATATCAGGGGACTTTTGAGGGGAAGCATTAATCTCACTTCTTTCCAAAGCTTTACATCGGCTGAGTATAAAAACAGAAGCAAAACTGAAAACTCAAATTTAGTATCAAGCAGAAACTTGCCCATCTCAAATTTACACTTTCAACTACATACAAGTTTAATTCATCATTATTAAAAAACACAGAAGCATTGCTGGATATCTGAAATCTACTTATTTCCAGACAGCTTTCAATCTCAGTCCCTTCCTCCCCCAGACTGTGAGTAATAATTAGCACACACATTAACAATGGTACTTTGATAAAGTTAAGAGCTGCACAACCTTCTATATACTTGTTATTAATATTTATTCCACCTTGAACCCCGTAAGCCATCTTTACTTTTCACCGAACAATGTACAGGCATTCCCTAAGACCTGTATTTTACTAAGCTTTTGAGTAAAGTTGAAACAGTCTCATCTAGAATAAACACCCTACAAAATCCAAAACATGGGTTCTCCTTTACAGTTGTTTGAAATTTACTTCATAGATTACAAAATATAATTGTTTAGCTAGAAAAAGCACAAATAAGCATGTGAGATACACAGATAAAACTAATCTCTAACAAAAAAGTAAAATAATTTTTGTAAATGTAGAACATACATCCTTCACATTTTCTTACCTGCATAAATGTACCAGATTTTTTTGCAAGTTATGACTTTCATTTTTAATACAAGCCATTCCCTTCTATTTCATCTATCCCATTTTCCTCTTTTCTGAAAAATGTAGTCCAGCTCTAGCAAAAGCCACAACTTATAAACATCCCATCCAAAACTACCATATGGTTATTAGGAACCATAAGAGAAAATACCCAGTTCTGTATTTGGAGGCACATTTAAATATGTTAAAGTTAAGAATTGTGACTTCGAGTTTTAAACAAACCTTTCTGCAGAACAGTATGTCAAACAGTAGACAAAAGTAGCAGGGTATATTGATTAATAGTGACACACTCCCTACATCAAATCATGACCCAAACACCACATTCACATGGCTTCTCAGGGGGTTCTAAAAGCAATCCCCATTGTTTATCCAGAATATAGTGAAATACCAATAGAAATGTTTCTGTACAAATTCCTGTACCCCTGGTTTTTAAAACTGAGAAGTGTAAATTTCTGTAGCTTAAGTCGTTAAGTTATATTTTATGCTTCTTACTGCAATAATTTAAACGTGACTATTTACCTTAGAGAATGTGGGTATCTTATTCTCTCTTTGAATGTGACTTGTTATGTGTTTCCTTTTCTCTTCTGATCGATACACTCTTACTTCTTCTTCTCCCTTTGCTGTTCTCCATTCTTCCTGCCTACTGAAAAAAAAAATAAATTGAGATGTTAACTATAAAGCAAGTTAGTACTACAACCGAGACGATCTATTCCAAATCAAGGAACAGATGTTCAGCATTTACAACACTCTTTGAATACTAGTTCTTTTCTTTACAGTCAGAATATGACTTCAAAATTACACTTTCTGAACAAAGTAAGATTTCAATCTTACTTCAAAAAGCTAAAGCAGCTTATGTTTGGCTAGACAGGTTTTTTGACTTACTAAGCGTTCATCACAAGAGTTAATTAGTGAATTAACTAAAGTTCCAGTTTGGAAATCAAAATTCACCTCAGGCACCTAATGGTTCAGGTCAGTGTCCCAGCCATAAAATGTCATATAATGTCAGGTACAAATCGAGTAAAAATATACTGTAATTTTATGCTACAAGTCAGAATACACTGAGGCAGCTAGATCCAAATAACTCTGTCATTTGTTAAATGATTGTGATTTTTATTCACAATTAATATACAATTCCAAGATGTTTCAAGTGTTATGCAAGCAACTGATTTGAAACTAAACCCAATGTCGTAAGAAATACAAGACCACACAACAGATAAATACCACATAAATAGTTCTGTGACAATGTGAATTCCAAAACTGTTAAGTTCACCAAGCTAGTATTCACTGCATACTTGGCCTATGCTTACCTGGCCACACCAGAAGACAGTTCAGGCACTACAACCCTTCGACTCCAAGCCACAAGGTCTCTCTCAGTGGCTATTTCACTTCTTGGTGCATTGCTATGCATCTGACGCACACCTTCAATTTGTCCACTACGCCTTAATCCTATATTTGGTGGTGAATGTACTTCTGAGGTAGAACTTACAGATCCTAAAAAGTCAAAAAAATGATAGTTGTACTTGATCTGAAACTCTGAGGGAAGCATTTAAAAAGCAAACTCAAAGGGGAAAAAACAAAACAATCCAAAACAAGAAAAGCCCCAAAAACTTTTACTTATCTCTTCCTTCAAAAGAAACTAAATATGAGCTGAATATAACTATTTCATCAGTCTCTACAGTCATCAAACCACACATGTAAACAGCTACTGCGCTGTAGTATAGTATACTTAAAAAATTCACATAAAAAAGGAACAGCTGTTATCAACAACTGGAAGTGAAGTAAATGTTTCACTGGTTTGCTTTTCTTTAAAAATGTGAAGCTATTGCTACTGCACTCTAGATCCATGTTATAAAAAGGTGAGTTATCTCACTGAATCAGTGTCTTCTACACCTTCGAAAAAGAAGCCACAACTCTGAATTACTAAGAATTCAAGCTGTAAAATTTACAGACAAGGCAAAATGATCAAAAGGGTTAATACAAACAAACTCAACAACAAAAAAAAAAAACAAACCAAACCCACAAATGCTTGCCAAAACCTTCAAAACACCTACACTGTAGCAGAACTTCAGCATTTCTCTACACCTTTCCACACAGAAGCTACTCTTGCTTACTCAAGGTGGATTGCCAACCATGATGTTTTAAGTGTTGAAAACTACTACACAATCTAGTGCAAGACACTGAAGCGTGGAACAGCTGTACTGAAAAACAAGCAACTCCTTCCTCTTTTCTCTCTCCTGTTTTCTTACTTGAGACAATTCAGGTTTTAAGCAAGTAGATGGCCAATTGCAGATTAAACAGTAGGATAGTTACTTCTAAGGGAATGCAGTTGGTGCAAGTTCCCTGAGTAAGCATACACAATAACATTAAAGATAAATTTGTAATTGTAAAAACTCTGAGATTTTGCAAAAAGGTTAAAAAAAAAACAAACCAAAAAACACCAAAACAAAACAGGGAAGCTGCATCTTTTCCATGGCTCCAAACCTCCCGATAGTTCCAGAAAATTCGTAAATCATGCACCATAATGTAATTTATGTTTTCCAGCTCTCAGCCACAACACCCATCTCCCAGTAATCTACCTCTGTTTATCCGACTCGTACTACTGGTTCCTGCTTCCCCAGAGCGCCTCTGGTCCTGCTCTTGCTGAAGTCTTTGAATCATGCTATCCAACGGACTAACTTCTTGATTTGCTTGTTGACTAAGAACTTGATTCAATCCTGTGAAGTAAAACATACAAGAAAACAACATGCAAATGTTGAAGAACCGAATGCGTATACACATGTAAATATGGGCTAATGCATATTTTTGTAACAGACAGTTTTTAAACAGTACAACCTTTTTCTTAATATACCGAGAAAATCATATTTTCTAAAGGAGGGTCAGGATGATCACATGCCACTCCTAATAAATGCCTAAATTTCATCAAGAGTAAACAAGTCACAGAAGTTGAATACAACTGTTGTTTCTCAGTTAACATAAATTGTTCTAATTCATGCTTTATAATGCATTTTGGGTAGGCTAACCACTTCAGTATAAGCTTCAATAAAATAACTACTTCAAGAACTAACTGAATTAGAGAAGAATTATCTACACTGCAGAACACCAAACAGTAAAAATGTTGGACTGAGCTCCATATGGGCATAACGACGACACAGACTAAGTAATGCTAATGATCTTTGGTATATAAAACAGCCATGAAACCTCCTTTTGGGTAGGGCTCGAGTAAACGACAAGAAATAGTTCTCACGGAAGTGATTACGAGGTGATAATACTGTATCTGTGCAGCAAGCAAAATAAACAGCATCTAAGCATAAAACACACAAAACTTCTTTTCATACAATGGTCACAAAAAAATCAGAGTTATGGAGAAATAGGCAAGGGCTACAGTACTCATTCAAAAAGGAGGTCAGATACCTCCACACAGAATAGTCAGATAGTGGATTGGTGGGAAGCTCTGGACAAGAGAAGTAGAACTTGCAAAATTTTGTCCTGAAGAATGGCAATGTCCAAAGAAACAAGCTACAGAAATTATTTTCCCAGTATAATTCTGAAGTGATATCATACTATCAACTGCACTTTGCAAGATCAAAGACAAGATACTGCAGTAATTGTGCTACGAAATGAAGAACTTTGATTATGTGGTTAGACAGAAGCAGCTCTCTCTTAACAGATGATGGTATGCAGAAAGAACATAAATATTTAAGACAGTGCTTTCAGGGTTTCAAGGTTACTGTAGTTGAAGTCAACTTCCCTAAAGCAGCAGAAGCTTGGAATCATGGAATGAGCTCTGGTATAACCACAGCTGGATGTTTTCTGACTCATGTAGTGAGACAGATTTATTTGGCGATCTCATAATCCAACATACTGCCTGCTGAAAACAATGGGAAAAACAACTAGCAACCCAAGAATGTTCTTGAATAAGGAACAGCTACCTAAACAAAATGAATGCTTCTTTATGCATATAGCTTGCAGGACTTTGACTTCACAAGTTACAGCAAATTTTTTGAGGTTTTTTAAAGAAATAATGAGCACACTGGTATATATTTGATTTTTGAAAATATCTGGTTTAAAGGAGCTTCACGTATATCTAAGCAGTAAATCAAGCATCACTACCTAAATTCCCCCTGGTCTTATAAGCCCCTACAGAAAACTTGACACGAAACAAATGATCAGTGCTCCGAGGGAGATCTGTCAAATCCCACAATAAGGTTTCAGAAAGAAACCGAGCTTCCTTAGTGGAAGGTAACATGAAATACATGCACACACTTTAGCTCTGCTAAGAGTGCATATATTGTTGCTAAACTGTGAAGAGGCATACAAATGTCTTCTGTCTCTCCATCATCTGTCTGGTTTTGTGTCAGCTTAGTTGATAGCTTGCTGCTATTAAACAAATGGTATGGATACCATCTTGATATAGGCATTCATGTGTCATATGCAGCCACACCATTAGATTTAATGTTGCTGCGTCTGCATGCAGAGTCTGACTTGTTTCAAGATATTATATTGAAGAACATGCCCAGAACATTTTAAAATTTGGAGAATTTCAGGACATTGTGGATTAATGCTCTAACTGCAACAACAAAGTTTAAATCACATCCTTCCTTGGAAAGTGAATTTAGCTTCAAAACCGCCAGCTAAAAAGTTAAATAAAACACAGCATACATTCAGCCACAAGGGACTTTTTCCTTCTTACAGTTGCTTCTCTGGTAACATTTCTTCCTATAATTTTGGAGGAAATATGGAAATGCTCCTTAAAGATTATTACTCAAGTATTCAGTGGCTTATAATTCTCAGATCTACAAATGAGGATAAAGACATCTTTTGTTAACAACACTGTCAGTTAACTTTCCCAGAATGTGTGACACAACACAGGATTAAATGTGGTGTACATATAAGCCACTATTTGCAGACACAGTCAGTTTTCCCTGTATTTTCAAGAATATCCAAATACTTCGCAATGCTTATCTTGAAAACATTTAAATCTACTTTCACCAGTCACTGCTCATTCACGCTAATACCAAACTAGTGACACGTAACAAGTAGGCATCATTTTTACAGCCCCACCCATGTGGGCCACATTTGGCTGTTTCCAAACAGCCACCCACTGGCTCAGAATAGGCACGTTCCTCCCACGTTGTGTGTGTGGAGAATACAACTTTTCAGGAACTTCCTAGATTCTGTACCCTTATCAAGTCTTCAGAGTTCTCTAACCAAACCATCAAAGCTTAAGTTGAATGACTGCCTTCATCTGAAGGGGAAGGGGATTTTGCATGTTTAAGATGTCCTCTCATTTTTCTCCCCTTGTATGTGTTACCTACTCCAACTGATCTGTGGCAGAACAGTCTATTTCCCAGCTTTTCAAAAGCAGGGAAACTTACCCCAAAGAGATCAACTGAAAGCTCACTCAGCATCATACACCATTCCAATAATGAAATGAGCTCCAAGCTAACTGGCACTGTAACATCGACTAGCACTGACTTGATCAATGACAATACTGTAATTGTCACAAGCAATCAGTGCCATGGACACTGTAATTCTTCAACAATACATGAACTACTATGCCCAGAAATTAATAAAAAGGATGAAGTGAAAGGGAAAGTGTAGGACACCTAGAGGTAACTACATAGGCTACTGTGTAGTGAAGTGAAAGTTTCCATACCTGAAGATGTCACTCCCATCTGAGGAATAAGCTGTTCCTCCCTGCAGTTCTCACGACCAGGAACTAGTCTTTGATACCTTGCAGGATGAGGGTTGCCATCCACATCAACCAAAAATGGGGGAGGCATAAGGTGTGGAGCCTGCTGTGTCTGTTCATCCAGGACAAAGTTGTTGGCATCACGGATAAGGGGCCGATAATCACTATGAAAGAACATCTGATCTGCTATCTGTAAACAAAGTCATTTTGTAATTTTTTTAAAGAACCTATTAAAAAAGTCATACAGAAGATAACTGCCAAAAATATTTTTAACAATGTTACTCATGGTCACTTGCAAAACCAAGGTTATAAAATGATCTGTTTATCTTAGTTAAAGTGCAAAATTTAATGACTCCATGATTATTTTTTTTCCCCAGTACTCCTTGTCTATATTATAGTGCAAGGAGAATAATCCACATGTTTGAGGGTGGGGAGCATTCAAAGAACAGGGGAATGGGGCAACATTTAACTGCTGGAAGACACTTGACTGACCACAGCATGGACATATTAGTTTACAAATTTTCTTCTACACTCTGAATATATATTCTGCTAAAGAACTGTGTCACAGACTTAGGAGCTATGGTGTAGAAGAGGAGGAATAGGAAAATATTATCACATCATATCACTGCCAAATACTTTAACCAGCAGCCAAACATACATCCTGTTTTAATGCTAGATACGTGAAATAGTTCCAGTAGATAAAACAAAGCTGATCTAAATTTGAATTCTTCAGACTCAAAGCCTTCTTTATTTCAGTCCACCTGTTCATGATTTATTCTAGATGACTTTCCACAGACACTCAAGACTGAGGAACTCTATTGTCCAAAGAGCATGTAAAAAAGGCTTACATTCCATCCCCTGCTGGCACATCATCTCAATACAGTGCAGTCAGAAAGATACTGAACAGCAAGGAGAAAAGACAAGACAAGCTGACACACATCCCAACACTACCTACTGGCAAGCAAACCCCTTGGCAGCTAATACACTCAGTTTAACTATGAACAAGTAAAAATAAAATCATAATATCACCATCCACACAAATTAGACTGTGCAGTATAAAAATGATTCAATAATTGACTTAAGGCATGGAGATCTCCAGAAAGTCTTGCCTTACGTGAGGTATTTGAACATATACAGAGGAATGCCTAAGCTGTCATAGAACATACTCTGATTTCTGAAAAGAATACTCCACAATGAACAATCCATAACATAGTTTTCTGTTACTTGCTAAGTAGAAATCAGTAAGGCAGAGGTTACACCATCTGTGCAGAGATCTGGTCTCTCAATGACAAAGGTCTCCCATTCTTGATGTGAGACAACCAGGAATGAAAGACAACCATAAACTTATGTCAATTACAACACCAGCAAATGCCTACATGCATCCACAGGAAATGGGCAAGAAGAATTTAAAAAAATTATAGGAATTGCAGAATATGGATCCCATAGAAATTCAAAAAAGTAGTAACTGGAAGAAACTGGAAAGATGCATGGCAAAATGCAACAGCAGAGAACTTACTTCATGGATTCCAAAAGTTATCCTTACAAAGCAAGGATATGAACAACGTAAGTATGGACAAGGTGACATCTCACTGCAGTTAAGAAGTCCTGACTGGATGAAATCTTGCTGCCAGATTCTCTGTAACTTAACAGAGGCCGAACATACAAACAGACTGTGAGTCCTAATGTGCTGTGATTTGGCTGTACAGTGTTGTTCGCATCTCAGGCTTTATAAGAAAAGGGAACATCTGAAATTTCTTCCTTAGATTCAGTGACCTCTACCGGAATAGACTCTGATGCAAGATCATGAGGACTTCTTTGCAATCACCCTTCTTTGGACTCTGCAATGCAATGAGATGTGGTAAATAACGATTTTCTACTCCAAAAGATAATGGCATTTCATGAAGAACCCAGGTGCAGGCCAACTCTTAGATAGAATACTGGAATGTCCCTCCTGGAAACCCAGGGCAACAACTGCCCTCAGGCTACTCTAAGTCCAGAGAAAAATCAGACATTTCTGTGAATCTTAAATGGCTATGTTCAACAGACAACCAGTTGACAGTATCAGATGATAATTTTCAGGGCCGACCTCTATGATGGACCCATGAAGAGTATCAGAAGTCTGGAGCACCACAGTGCTCAAGGCCAGGTTGGAAGAGGCTTTGAGCAACCTGGTTTAATGGAAGGCGTCCCTGCCCATAGCAGGGGGGTTGGCTCTAGGGACCTAGAACTTTAAGGTCCTTTCTACCCAAAAATATTCTGTGATTCTATGTTACCCACAATCATACATATTTCTTGATACACTATTAAGAGATCATAACAATAAGAAGATGCTACACCGTTAGCACATATGAGTCATATGACTTCACAAACCTACTCTGTTTCAGAGCAAAAGCTTACCACAAGATCCGAGTTCTACAAAAGAGACTCTCCTCCAGTAACTGCACTACACATTCACAATGCTCTGTTCTTCCCAATTGGAAGACCTATGCAAATGCAGAGACTTTCCCCATTACTATGTCAATCCACCACACAGGTCTTCCGACAAAGAATTGTGGTTTGGGCAGTCTAAAGGAAAAAAAGCCATAGAAAGCTCAGAGACCTAGTCCAATCTAAGATTTGAAATCAACACCTTATGGTTTAGAATCATTAGGCATTCCTGGACAAGTTTTCACCCAAGCGAGAACTTCTGAAGTGCACATGCCCTGTTGACAGGGAGCTCATCTCATCTCTGATGATCTTCGCACACCCAGAAATTCAGCTGATATTGGCTCAAGGTTCCTTTAATTGGGTCAAATAACAAAGGAGCCCCGAACAAGCAGCAAACGTATATTTTCTTTCCATCACTGAAAATTACTCCACTAAACCACATTATCATCAGGAGAACACCCCATCACCTTCATTGTGGCCAAGATCACATGCAGGACAAAAAACCAAAACGAGAACAGCAGTTCCAGTGAACTAGAAAACATGGGTGCTATCTGAACATCACAAGAAAAAATAAACACATGGAAAAACAAGAGCTTGCTCTCTCAGGAGAGATAACATTATCTTAGCTATAATTACTGTCCTGAGTATAACTGCACAAATGCACAGGTTACCCCACTCCTTTCTTCTGCAAAACTCATTACCTAAGATGGATGGAAAACACTTTAAAAAAGTCTGCAGGTCTGATCAAGAACATCTGATCTCCAGCACCTACCTATCTGTAGTTATATTTCTGCATAAATCAAGTCAAACAAAAATTAAAAGAGGAGAGGGACCCAGACAAGAAGGAGACCAGAAACTTCCAAGCTGAGTTTTCTGAGAGTCAAAGACTAAGATTAAAGAAGTAACAAATATAAGTCCTGTTTGCTTCCATTTCTTCTATGGTCAAGCATGACAAGATATCACCAGCAAAATAACAGCTGGAGAAAATAATTTTAGGTCACCCAATAGGTGAAAAAATTTAAACCATCTTTTTTTCAGAGGCTGCAGCAAAAGCACCAAGAGAACAAAGGTCTGCAGAATTCAAGAAATGAAAAGCAACTCTTTTCATTCTTCAAACAGATCTAATCCCTCACAAGATAAGTTCTTAAATGGAAGTCTAAAGGCAACTCCAGCAAATACAAAAAGGCTCTCAGTTCCAATTTCGTGTCCAACATATCTGAGAATCAGAGGACTATATGCTTCCAAAATGACTGGACAGAAAAAACATATCTGGAATGACCCGTGGATATGGTGAGAAAAATGTTTCTATTACAAGAAGCTCTGAAGTTTGGAACTCTTAAAAGAAAAAGACTTTGAAAATGATTTGATAATCCTAGTTTTCCTTGCTGTGGTGTCTCTCTGCTCATTTGCTTTCTTTGGAATGGAAAGGGAAATGCGTAACTAGCAATAGGTGAAGAACAGCCATAGCAGCCAAGTACCAAATGCTCTGAATCATAGTTGAGAGCCAAGGAGAAAAAAAAAAATCCCCAATATGCAAACGCTGCTGTAACTAGCATCAAATTGAGAGCTGGAAGACTACAGAAAGAATTGCAGTGGCTTACAAGACAAAGATTAAAATTCCTTTTGCTATTCCTCCTTCAGGCCTTTCTGTGCTACTCTTTGCCAAAAAGCCTTCAAGGCCAGCATACATCCAAAGATCCAAAGCTAGAAGCGAGATCCAGAAGCCAGCACTTCACAACCAACCTTCAAGTACCAGCTACCAGAAGCAGAGATGAAAATCCTGGAGCAGACATGCTTGTTTAAGTCTTGGAAAGAGGGAGAAGAGATCCACCTCAGCTCTTCCCTGTATGGTAAAAGAACAACTAGGACTGTGTGGGCACTCCAGATTAGGTAACCTGTATGGGTTTGATGGGGCATGTGCATCCGCAGAGGAAAAAAACCACCACACATCTTTACAGTCATGAGGGTCTGTGGCAAGACATCCACACTTAGAATACTCAATGTAGGCATTAGAATAAAGACGTAGTATTTTAATCGCACAGTAATGGTGAAACGTTACAGTGTAAGCACCAAGGCATCCACGACACAACTTCATTAGCAGACATATGCCACACAGCATATTTACTGTAAAAAACTGTATCGCAGGCTATGCAATATTTAAATACATATAGCGGGAATTAATTCTATTACCTGTCCCCCTTTCTCACCCTCCCCCCCCCCACCCACTCCTATTTTTGTCTTAGCTAAGAACCAAAAAAGATATTTAAAGCAAAATGTTTAACCATTATCAACTTCACTTCAGTTCATTCACATGATCCATGTGGATCTATTAGCAGACACTTGTAGCCTCGTCATTTAAGAGAGTCAACAGAAAGTGACTGGTTTGTTTTCTTTTTAACTTTTAACTTCCCACATAAACAGTAGCTTCATAGCATGTTTCCATAGTTTAAAAACCAAAGACAGTGAAAGAAAGCTCAGGGTCAACAACAGGAATCTGAAACATGAGCAATTAATGGCTCAAACTTATGTTACAATACAATGAAGCTCTGAAGGAAAGTTTGCACGAATGCATTCAACACAGACAAACATTTTGATTTTCATCTTGCACTGTACCTTGTCGTACTTGCTACTGGAACCAAAGCCAAAAATCAGAAGGTGACCATGAGAATCAGTACATGCAAAATGCTGTCCATCAGGAGAGCACTTGCAGTCAAAGACTGCACCATGTCCTTGTCCTTCAATCTGAAATACATCAACATACAAAATAATTAAGTTACCAGAAATAAATCTTTTTCAATTATGATTCTCAAAACTGTGGTGCTGATGTTGAAATTTATTATAAAATCCGTAAGACAGTATACTGCTAGATGGAAGTTACTTTAAAACATAGTTTGCTTTTTAGCTATTCACTTTTCAGTGAATTTTGTAATAATGCTCATGAAAGATGCCAAATTGATAGTAGTAGAAACTGACAGACTTTATCCACAAAGCAGGCACAGTATAGGAAGTGAAAATAAAAGCTTCCCCTTGAATGTCCTGCTAATGAGCCTAACCAGAGATCTGGGTCCAGTTCAGGGCTTAGTCACTACACCCTTTCAATCCTCTGCCTTCTTGCTAAGCTAGCCCAGTAGCATTGGCTGCTGTGGTGTTTCACAACACCTGCCTGCCAGGAACACACGGACATAGACAACCCACATTACACAACTTATCAACTGCCTGCTTCTGTAATTCCTACTCCTAATTTATTGGAGTGGGTGAGGTGTAGATTTGTGTAAAAACTCCACTTTTTAAAGGAGAACTGCAAAGATTTTAAAAAAGGAATTTTTACCTGATACTCATTTTCTGTTTTCCAGTTCCATTAAGCCAGAACAAATGGGTTTTTGTTTTTCCCTGCAACCTGTCAATCAAGCAGAGGTGACCAATCACCACTCTGAATTTTCATGTCTTCAGCACCTCTTCAGAAAGCCCCTTTCTATTCTCCCCAGCAAAGCACTTTCGCATTTTCTTTAAAGAGACACCAAACAAAATTCTTTCCCTAACTATGGCAGGCATTGCCAGAAAACACAGCCTGCAGGCAGTAACACTATGCACTTCTGTAGCACCTCTCACAGGCCATCAGTTTTACTTTAAAAAGTTAAGGAACCAAGCCTCCAAAAACCTGTGTAGTAGGTAATGTTCTCACTGTCTTACAGGCTGAGAGAAAGGCAAGAAGTCTACATCTTTTGCCCAGGGTCCTACAACACACCCACACCCCTGTACACCCCCCCACCCCAGTGGTAGAGGCTGCTGCACCTATTGCCAGTGCTTGCAGGTAGGTGATGATAAAGGTCTTTCTTACTCTAAGTACTTTCCATAAAAGTCAAATCAGTTTCTGGATTAGCAAAAGAGGACCATAAACCAGTGCTAGTTTTATGTTCTATTCTGACCATTATTCCAGAAGAAATGAAGTATCCTATAGAAAGAGATGAAAAATAAAAACAGAGGTTCAAGTGAGTGACACTAACATCACAATAGCTAGGAATGAAGAATTAATTTATACTAAGCAAATCCAACAACCAAGGCAAAGCTACAACTTTGTGCTGCTTTTTCTACATAGAAAGCTCACAGCGTTCAAGGGAGACAGTCTGGGGAAGCAGGTGGAAAGGGGAAAGAATAAGCTTTGCAGATGTACAGTAAAAACCTGGAAAAGGAGTACTTTGAAACAGATTTCTGTTCCCTTTCCCTTCCTCCAACAAAGGAAACATCAAATAATCAAGCTTCTTAACATTCAAGCCCTTCATAAATAGAATTCCAAGGCTCTGTTAAAGCCTAAGATTTTAAGACCTTTTGTCTTACAAGGAAAACAAGGCATGTTGTATGAACTATTTGCTAATCACAGTGAGGGGGAAAAAAGTCAGAAACAGAAGGAAAAATCAGATTATTAAAATGATGGGATTTTTAATCCTTCACAGTAAAAAATGGTTTGGATGGAACAGTTTCAAGAAATCCCTGGAATGTAGAATGTTAGTTGGAAGACATTCCCTTCTTACACAAAAGAAAAGAATAGTAAGCTATTATTCTGGTGTCCTCAACATAAAAAGGACATGGATCTGTTGGAACAAGTCCAGAGGAGGGCCACGAGAATCATCAGGGGACTGGAGCACCTCCCATATGAAGATGGGCTGAGAAAGTTGGGATTGTTCAGCCTGGAGAAGAGAAGGCTGCGTGGAGACCTCATATCAGCCTTCCAGTATCTGAAGAGGGCATACAGGGGTGCTGGGGAAGAACTCTTCATTAGGGACTGCAGTGGTAGGACAAGGGGTAATGGGTTAAAACTTAAACAGGGGAAGTTTAGATTGGATATAAGGAGGAAAATCTTTCCTGTTAGGGTGGTGAGGCACTGGAATGGGTTGCCCAGGGAGGCTGTGAATGCTACACCCCTGGCAGTGTTCAAGGCCATGTCGGACGAGGCCTTGGGTGATATGGTTTAGAGCGAGGTGTCCCTGCCCACGGCAGGGGGGTTGGAACTTGATGATCTTAAGATCCTTTCCAACCCTAACTATTCTATGATTCTATGATTAAGTGACTAGCGCAGTGCAAATAGTTTTACCCTACATGTGGCCAGAATCTGGTTTAAAAAGTCCTTTTGGAAAGGAAACCAGTAAGACCTTTTAGTACAGCCCCTCAAGTCTGATGTACTATTACTAGGAAATAAAGATTCTTAATATTATAAGAAGAAAAACTACTGCTGAAGATAAGCTTCAAAGATATAATTACTATCACAAATTAAAGAGCAAAGCCTGCCAGAGTGTGCTACCCAATAAAATTTTTAAACGGAAGTATTTTTAGATTAATAAATCACACGTTGCAATGGAATTTCTCCAACAATAAAGCTAACAGGGAGGAGTTGGTTATTTGGAATAGAAACTAAATGTTAAGTTGCATAAGGGGGAGCTGTACTAAATCACTGAGTTGTAACTTCAGCAAACTAGATAAAGGACTTGAGCAAGAAGGAAACTTCCTTCCCCTCTCCAGATCTTTTAAATCAAAGATGCAAGAACTGTAAGAAGACTGTATTCCACAGAAGGTTGACTGTGTATTCTGTCTAGAACCTTCACCTGAATAAAAGGATGGTGAAGGGAAGAGAGCACTTATAAGAAAAGAAAAAGCACTGGTCAATGAAGAGCTGTCCCAACATACGGCTGTGAAGAGTGGACATCTTAAGACACTGCTGGCAGCAAAGCAAGTAGCAAGGATTCTTCACCTATGAACAGGGAAGGACCAGTGATGCTATACAATGAGGACTAATTTAAGATTACTTTTAGTCTCAACCCCAAGAATTAAGCTATTTGCCTATATTTTCACTAGCAAGGAAGCAGGTGGACACTGATACATCACGAAGGGAGGAAAGCTGATGAAATCAGAGAATGAAAAAGGGAAGCTACTCTTTCCCTCTAAGTTTTGAAGTGAACTTATTGCTCTCCCCAAGCCAAACTCTGAAACTAGTACAAGAAGTAACATGTCTTAGATCCATAAAAATAATTTCTTAAAAAAATAAAAATAAAAATAATTTATTATGTGAACACAAGTAGTACCACTTACAGAAAGACAGAAATAAATAATAAGCCTTTATGACCTGTCATCAATAGATAGTATGAAAGACTTTAAACCTAGTTTTTAAGAAAAGTAAAAGACATGGGAGTAAAACAAAATAAATAATCAAGATTAGAGAGTACTAGATAAACATAGCAGACTTTCTTCAGTAAAGTAATTGATTTTTTTTTTTGTACCAAGAAAATATAATTCATTCAACCTAGGCAGATTTCACAGACATGATATGGCACTGATAACTTAGTTTAAATGGAAGAGATTGTAATTATTAAGAGAAATGCAGAGCAGGCAAACTTGCCAAGGAAAAGATGACAGTAACTGGTTTTGGAAAAGACATACAGAACTAAAGGAGGCTAAACTGATCCGTGAAGTTCCTCAAGCCAGGCCTTTCTGTAGTGACTACAGAAAAAAAATAAGAGCCCAATGATGAAATGAACATTAGGAAACCATCCACTGAGAGCAGATTTAGGACAGAGCACAAACGATATTGACTAAAGCAATTAAAAGCCAACACGACAAAATGCAATAGGTCATGAACCTAATAAGATCATTAGAAATAACTTACTAACACACTGCCAGAAAAAATGAAGGAACACAGTATACATACAGCAATACTATGCATTTCTACCACACTTGCCAACAGAGGCAGCATTGCTTAGAAAATCAGTGAACTAAGCCTCTACTAGCCTTAGGTAGATAATGTTCTCTCCTGTCCTTCACACCAACAGACTGAGGCAATTAGTTGGAAACACAGGGAGATAGGTCACCATGTATTCACTGCAATGCATCACATGCAATGCAACGTCAACAAGAAATCTATAATCCTAAACTATACCAGAAGTATATCCAGAAGAGAAAGCACATACATGCTAGGCAGACAATGTTAAGAACAGTCTTCCAAAGTGATACATAATCTTTACTTCTGATGTTCGAAGCAGGTAAATTCTAAGCAGAACAGCTACAGAGAAATGCTTCCATTTGTCATGCTAATGGAAAACTGAAGAGCTCAGCTTCTTCACATGGACACAGAAAGAGGACTATTTTGTGTGCCTATACAGAAAGACCTTTAGCAGAAAGAGAACTACTGAAATGCACAGGAAGAAACAGAAATCAGTTACAAGTAAAATTCAACTTGAAACCTGGTATTTCTATGCTAACAATCACAATGATAGCACGCTAGACCAACTTTCTAGAACTATCAAAACCCTCCAAATCTGTTATTAAAACATGTAACTTCATTCATAAGTGATGAAACTATATCACAGCTGCTCGAGTCAACCCAGTCTCCAAGTATTTTGAAGCTGCTTTGAACAATCTCAGATCACAGCATGCTTCCATGATAAGCCAAAGATATGTACAGCCGTTCTGCAAAGTTAGAAGAGGCTGATGCAGCTCTGGAGGACTCAAAAACACAATTTTTAAGTTTAAAAAAAAAAAAAAAAAAAAAAGAAAACCCAAGAAAAAAACAGGGTTTCTACACTGCTTCCACAACAGGAGCAAAGCATCAAAAGTAGGAAGATGTCAGGAATTAATTAGGAGTAAAATGTTTACTAATAGTATTTCTCTATTCCTACCACACAAGTCAGTTATCCATTCAGGAACACTGTATTTGTTTTGAAAGATAAATGTATCACAAAAAGATCTGACAGATC